CACTTCCCACCCCTGCTTGATTAGTTCCTATAACAGACATTAGTTGACCGTTTTACTATTTTCCTTGTTTGTTGCATGTGAGGTCCCTGAGGGCAAGTACCATGTTGGTCTTACCCACACTGTGTCCCAGAGCCTCGCACAGGGCCTGTCATACACTAGGTCCTCCATTAAACACCCACTGGAGGAACAGACGGCACACTGGAGGGGTGCTGACACCCCGAACTGCCCGCCAGCGAGGCCAGCAGTCTCGGACTCTCGGAATCAAGGACCAAACAAGGACGATATTAGCAAGAGGGCACTGCTGTAGCGTGAGGGTCATTAAGGATGAGCAGGGCCGGCTTGGCCTCGGCTCCCCCAAGTCCCAAGGGGACACTCCTTGGTCGTTGTCACAGGAGCAGAATTCCCTGGAGAACATGGTGGCTCACGTGGGCAGGAGGGAAACAAGGGCTGGAAAGTGGAGGCTGGGACCCAGCCAAGCCCCTCTCTGACTCAGTTATTCCGTCTTCACAGCAGATCTGGCTGAGGAGAGGCAGGAAGGGCCCTCGGAGAAGGAGGCACAGTGGGCCGGGTGGTATGAGAGCGAGCGCCGATCTCCTGTGTGCGGGCAGGCTGAGAGTCCGAGGGTGCTCATACCACAGGGGCTGGCTCGGACATTCTCCACGGTGTCGCCACCAGCCTGATGTCCAGGACACTGGACAGAAGCATATCTGGCACCAGGCAGCCTACCAGGGCCGAGTGTTGGTGCAGGCTGGGCCCAGCTGCCTTGCCCAGCTCCAGACGTCTTCCTCCTTACAAGTCTCTGCTTATTTAACAACCATCTCTCTTGTTCCATCAACCCTCCCTGAACCACCTTTCTCCTCCCTCTCCATATCTCCCCTTCTGCCCCAACCCCTCCCACCCCCCTACTCCATCGCCACCCCTGCATCTGAAGGTCTCCCTGTGTGTTTGGATTTCACCTGCCTTGCCAACATTTCCTGTCTTCAAATCTGTAGAGAAAAGGGAGCTTTTCAATTAGAGTGTATTGCACCCTCTTATTAAAATGCCCTCAGGGTCCCCAGGCCTGTGTCTTCTCTACCTGGGGGTGGGTAGCAGAGCAGGGGAGGGGCCATGAGGAACCCAGGCTCCAGAGTACAACCAGCTCTGCCTGTTGAGAAACATCAACCTTATGAGAATCCCATTCCACCAGGGGGCGCTCCCTCCCCAGCAGGACTGCCCTGATCATTTTTACTGCCTTGTTTCTGTTCTAGAATACACCATCCACGGAATGCCAGCTTGCCAAGGGGGAGAAATTCATTGCAAATAACCATCAATTGTGAGACACATCCAATTTCTTAAACCTTTTTTTTTAATAAATCTTTATTGTTGAAAGCATTACATTCTTAGACCTTTTTAAATTTGTTTTTTAACTTTCTGTCTGAGATAGTAGCCTTTGATTCAGTCACCCAGGCCTCAGAGTGCTTGTTCTCCCTTCAATTTCCTTTTTTTTTATTTTTAAGAAAAAATTGTGTCTGAGAATTGAGGAAATCTGATAGTGTTGAAACTGAAATAAAAAGAGGGGGGGGAAACGGTTTTTAATGGAAAGAAGCCAGGGAAACTCCAAACTCCTCTCCTGCACACCTCAGAGGCTCCCTCAGCCCACTCTTGGCCATCGGTGTCTGCCGCCCTCTAGGCCAGGCCCCCCTCCCCAACCTCCATCCCAACCCCTGGTCTCCCAGAACCACCCCTGGCTCTATAGTCCATCCCCACGAGGCAGCCAGAGGGGGCTTTTCAGTGAGAGTGTATTGCACCCCCTTACTAAAATGCCCTCGGGGTTCCCAAGAGAAAAGAGCCTGGTGGGACCCCGCCCAGGGGGCCTCCCCACCGGCCCTTCTTCCCCCTGCCACTCCCCTGCGCCACCCTGGCCTCTTTGCTGTTCTCTGAAAATGCCAGTTCTCCCCCACCTTGGGGCTTCTCCCTGGCCGTTCCCTCTGCTGGAAGACTGTACCCCCACCCCTCAAAAAAAAGAGGGGGCAGCAGGCACTGATCTGGAAGCAGCTGTCACAAAGCCCGGGTACCACCACGCACCACAAAAGCACCTGTGCCTGTAAGCTGAGCATCTCCCCTTCTCGAGTCCCAGGCTGCTGCCTTGGGCACTGGACTCCTGAGGGACGTGCATGACCCGGGGGTCTGCTCTCTGAGCCACCCAGAATACCCAGCAGCGCCCATATCCTCGTGGGCCCCTTGGCTGACTGGAAGGGCCCCACCTGCCAAGCAACTCCCACTGCCCACCCCTCAAAGTGGAACTTGAACTTACACAGAGTTAGGTTTAGTAGATTATGGAAGTATTCTTTTTTTAATCTTCACCTGAGGATATACTTCTTGTTTTTTTACTGATTTTTAGAGAGGATGTTTAGAGAATCATCCATGTGAGAAAGAAGCATCAATTGGCTGCCTCCCAAATGCGACTCAACCAGGGATTGGTGCATTTTCTCCTAGATCACGTGTCAAACACAAGGCCCGCGGGCCAAATCCGTCCCGCCAGGCCTTGCAATGTGGCCCACGCCGCGCTGTCATCACTGCACTCCGCTGCGTTTCCATCACAATGACAGTTTATGACTGTTCAGTAAACCATTCGGCCCGCAATTTAGGCTGGATTTTAGATTTTGGCCCCTTCTCTGATTGAGTTTGACACCCCTATCCTAGATCATTTGGAGCGATCTGGGTATGTATGTGCCTTGACTGGGAATCGACCCTGCAACCTTTTGGTGCACAAGATAATGCTCCAACAAACTGAGCCATCCAGCCAGGGCCCTGCAGTGTCCTTGCCTGACACCATCCCTTACTCCCCACCACCTGCCAGTTCATGTGTGCACGAGTGCACAGGAAGGCAGAAAAACGATCTAGAAGAAAATGCACTAAAATGCTCTCTAGAAGAGAAAATCCAGATGGTTTTTATTGGCTTCTGTGCTTTTCTGTATGTCCCTAATTTTCTATGCTCAGCCTGTGCTACTTTTAGAATCAGAAAAGAGCTAAAATAAGTCGTTAAAAAAAATACATCAGCCAAAACCGGTTTGGCTCAGCAGTAGGGTGTCAGTCTGCGGACTGAAAGGTCCCAGGTTCGATTCCGGTCAAGGGCATGTACATTGGTTGCAGGCACATCCCCAGTGGGGGGTGTGCAAGAGGCAGCTGGTCGATGTTTCTCTCTCATCGACGTTTCTAGCTCTCTCTTTCTCTCTCCCCTCCTCTCTGTAAAAATCAATAAAATAATTTTTTTAAGTAAAAATAAAAATACGGTAAATAAAAAAATACATCATTCTTTAGGCCATGGGTGCAAAAGGCAGAGAACAGGCAAAAAAGAGGCAGGTGTAGCTCTGCAGGCACCTGGGCCCAGGGAGGAAAGAGGGCAGTGGGGTGACCAGAGAGCGGCAGGGCCTCCAACCCGCTTCCTCACACCCACTCCTGTGTGAAATTGCCTTCTCTGCCCCCCTGGGAATCTCCGCTCCTTCGGACCCGGATGCTCCAGTTATCTGCCCGGTATTCAGGAGGGGCCTGGGCCAGGAGGGGCTGGGTGTGGGCAGCCTGAGAGACAGGTGGAACGTATCTTGGCTAAGCTCAGCCCCACCTTTGTCCTGGGGCCTGAGATTCCACATCGTGGGTGCCTGGTGCCTGGAGGGGCTGCCTACAAGTTCAAGCTTGGTGTCCAGACACAAATCTCCATGATGCGCTGCAGCTGGAGTAAGAGGCAGAGTGCAGACTCTACAATTATTTTACAAGCTGACAATGTGCCCAAACGGAAACACGTGGCAAACGCAGTAAGCGGCTGTTGTAAAGGGCTGGGTCTATGGAGAGAGGGCTCCCAAGTCCCAGAGGTTGGCATGTCCTGACCAAGTCAAGATCCTGGAACTTAAAGGGGGCCCTGAGTTTCCCTCCCGGTCAGGGCTGTGCAGAGAGGCCTGGTAGTTGCCACGCCTCCTCCTCTCGCCTTCCCCACCTCGGCTTTCAGAGGAAGCTGGCCTGGCCAGCACCCAGAGCTGTGAGACAATACATCTCTGTTGTTTGTGGTGCTTCGTTCCAGGAGCCGTGGAAACGGATGCGGGTGATATTGGGTATAGCATGCAAGTGTGTTTGGCCTCACTCATCCTGGCTCCGGGATGACCCCTGTACCTAAGAGCCAAGCCCTGGAGGGTTTGGATCTCCGCAGCAGAGAGCACGGGGCCCTGGCAGGAGGCACTGTGAACAGGGGCCTCCCAGCTAGCGAGCAGAGGGAAGCCGGCTTGCAGGCTGGGTACGTGAAAGGGAGAAGCAGTGGGGAGAGATGCGAAGCCCCGCATTCGCCCCGCAGGGCTGAGCCTTGGGCTGGCTAGAAGGGGCCGTGGGAAACAGGAGTCAGGGAGACCTCCAGGAACCCATGCCCACGTCCACCTCCTGCCGCTCCGGCAAGCTCCCGCAGAGCGAGCGCGGCCCTGCGGGCTCCTTGGCACAGCAGCGGTGGCGCTCTGGCTTCCCGCAGGCCGCAGGGCAGGGTCCCCAGAACAGCACGTGGAGCTGCGGGAGGGCTGGCAGCCCAGCAGGGGCCTTGGCAGGTGCCTCCGGGCCAGAGGGGGACAATGAGCTCAGAGATGAGAGGAACTCCAAAGCCAGGCCGTGGCAGAGCCAGGCCAAGGGGCCATCCATCACACACCCCCAACACCCTCCCTGTCTCCCTCACACAAGGGCCAGACAGGAAATAAACACAGGATTCTCTGCGGTGACAGTGATGGGGGGACAGACACACGGCAGGGGCCGGAGACAGACAGGTGGCTGCTGGTCTCACTCTTGTGGGAGACTGAACCAAGTTCCACAGCTCACCCCAGCTTCGTTACCCAACCACCACTTCGCCTATCTCAGGCCAGACGGCTGCAGCCCGTGTCCTGTGGGAGGGACTCTTCTCCCTGCCCCCTGCCAGGGGCAACATGACCCGATCAGAGAGACGGCCGGAGCCTAAGGGGGCGAGGGACACAGCCCAAACTCATGGACTCCAACATCAGTGAACATTTATTTTCTTTCCTAGGCCTCCGGTGAAGAAGGTCAACGTCACCACGTCGTAGGCAGAGCGCGGACAGCCAGGGGAAGTAGCCTGTCCTCTGGGCCTGGCAGGGGGATGCCAGGGGCAGGCAGGACCTGGTCGTCCTGCCAGAGGACAGCAGAGAAGGCTGCGCCGCCTCAGCACCTGACGGGAAAGCCCTTCTCCACAGAGCGCAGAGGGGCGTCCTTCAGAGGCTGGGAGACCTGCTTCGGGGAGGAGGCGGCCGGCCGGCGCGGGCACTGCCGATCTCTGCAGGTTGGGCCTGGACGCCTGGGACAGGACTGAGCGGGCCGACTGGGCCGTGGAGACTGACTAGGGCTACTGCAAGGCAGAGGAGGGCGGGGGCCCCGGGAAGGTGAACCTGCTGGCCTGGACCCCAGAGCCCGAGGCTGATGATAACAAGGAAGCGGGGGAGGAGACACTCGTGTGCCGGCTGGCCGTGTCCTTGCTAGGAGGAGGCAGGTCCTTAAAGATGTTGTGGGTCACCATGCGGGTCAGCCGGCCCTGCTGGTCTGTGACCTTCTGCATCAGGAAGTCAGGCTGGTGGGTGGGTGCCAGTTCGTTGAAGTACAGGTTTTGGTAGACCAGAGGTGAGAACTGTGGGGGAGGAAGGGGGGGAACAGAGCAGGGCGTGTGGGGACCGGCAGGGGGCACCTGGGCCAAGAGCAGGCTCGCAAGAAGGATGGGCGTGGGGTCTTTCCAGGCCAACGAATCTCCAGGGTGCTCTGGCTGCCACGGACGGCCACAGCCTGCTGGGCCCACAAGCCCACCAGGCTGAGGCTCCCCAGCCCTCCTCTTGGAGCTGGCAACCATCCTGTGAGGCTGGCACTGGACTGTCCCCATCTCAGAATGAGACCTCAGGCTGGACCCTGCGTGGGGCTCCGGCACAAGGAGCTCCCACGCCTGCCGTTGGCGCTCGCCAAGATGCCCCTGGAGCCCCGTCTCCAGGGGAGGGTGGGGAGGCCAAGCGGTCCCTTTTCTCCTTGACCTTCCCCCCCCGCCCGGGACAGAGAGCTCCCTCACTTATTCTGAGTCCCCACCACAGAGGCTGGGCGCTCCCGTGATGCCCCTATGGAGGGTGAGGAGGGAGAGGCTAAACGAGGCTGGGATCTGCCCAAGTAAGAGACAGGATGGGGCTCAAAGCGGGTCCCTCTCAAGTCGCCACCCCTTTCTCTCCCCAGGAAAGCCCCCCCCACCCCCATTCCCGCCGCCTCTTACTGACTGGGTTCCTGGCACCATCACACCTGTGTCTGCCCTGGAGGAGCCCACCATATGGAGGCATGCACAGTAAACACGCTAACCAACTAATAGCCAGCCCCTGGGAAATGCTTGGAAGGCTGTGAAGGTACCAGGCCCATGGAGTTCATCCTCTCGTGAGGCCCAACGAGGCTTGTCCCCAAGGACAAAACCTGAGTCCACGGTTTCAACCGGAGCCTTGGGCAAACAAGGTCACACTGAAAGGGTCCTGCTCAGAACCCCGTTGAAGGACCCATGTTCCCGTCACCCCGCTGGAGGCCCCTGTGGGCACTGGTGGCGCCTCCAGCCCCAGCCCCTCAGGGAGCGCCCCACCCTGCCACACCTGGGACTTCGTCAGGCCAAGCTGCACGTTGGTGGACAGGAGTCCGGGACTCCGCAACCGCTCCTTGGGCTTGTACCAGGCTCCCAGGATTTTGCTCACCTGCAAGAGTCATGGGTGGGAGTGAAGGCTCAGGACTGAGAGCTCAGGGCCCATCAAACCCCTCTCCCTCCCCCCCCCTCCACCCCGGGTCCCCTACAAAGCCTGACCTGCTTGTCCTTGGACTCCCACTTGTGCCAGGTGTTCTCAATGTCTTCCAGGGAGCGCTCTCCAGCCCATGGGGACGCCAGGGTTATCTTCTGCAGGTTGGCCCAAGCTTCCGCCTCCGTGTCTGCTTTCCCGTTCAGCAGAGCCAGGAGTGCCACCTCCTCCCGCCGCTGGTAATCCAGGGCCTCAGCAAGATCCCGCTCCTCCCTAAGGTGAGGGGCTTTCCTTCATACGATGCCCTCCACACCACAAGCCCACCCAGGAACCCCAAGAGGGTGTCTCCCTCCTGGATCTGATCCTCTCCAGCCTTCTCGTTCCTCCCATACGGCAGTCTGCCCAGGGCACACGTCACTGATGTTAGCGAAGCCCAGATTAAGCTGGTTCCCAACAAGTCCTGTGATTCTTCCCATGACCCTGTGCTCTCCCCCATGGAGGTCTGACACTCTATCCTGACCTTACCTATACTTCCCCTTTGGAATACTTAACTGTCCTCTCCCAGGGAAACCCTGCCTCTGCTTGTTTGATATCTTCCCATTGGACTATCAAGATGCCTTGACAGAAGCATCGGAGCCACAAGGACTCTGGGTGCCTGGAAAACTTGTACTTACATATCAAAACCCAACTCCCAAATCTCTTCTCCTATGAAGCCTTCCTTAAGTTAATCCACTCAGTCAGGGGACTGTCCTCAGCCATCCCTGTTCTTTTATTTTAATATATTTTTTATTGATTTCAGAGAGGAAGGGAGAGGGAGAGAGAGAGAGAGGAGAGACATCAGTGATGAGAATCATTGATCCGCTGCCTCCTGCACTCCCCACCCTGAGGATCAAGCCTGCAACTCAGGCATTTGGCCTGACAGGGAATCAAACCATGACCTCCTGGTTCATAGGTCAATGCTCTACCACCGAGCCATGCAGGGAAGGCCCATTCCTGTTCTTAATATCCATCACTTATCACAGGGAATAGCAGCCATGAGTTTGCATGTCCACCTCCCCAGTGCACTGGGAGTTATCAGAAGCAGGACTCATGCTTGAATGGTTTGGGATCTCTAGAACTTAGTAATAGGGCCTGGCAACCAGCAGGGCCTTAATAAATAATTTTTGAATAACCTAAAATTATCCAAGATTAGGTCAGGGTAGAGCAAGTGGGGAGGAGGAGCCTGTAGAGGAAAGAACAGGTGGCAAGCCTTCTGTGACTCGGAAAAAGAATACAGTGTCTGTTCAGGACCGGAGCCTGGGCACTCTCCTGCCAGGGCCCTGTGGCCACAGAGAAGCCAGCACTGGCAAATCTGAATCTGGCTCTGGGGCAGGGTCCCATCTAAGGACGTGGGTTTTTATGTGGCAAAGTCAAATGCTCCATCTTTCAGCTGAGCTGAGCTGCAAGAACAGGCTCTTAGGCCACAGCTGCCACCTGTGGAGCCGAGTTTCCAGCAGGTCCCAAGCCTTTGGCCTTCCAGAGCTTTCCCTGAATGTGCCCAGCACCACCCCATGCAGGTGAGGTGGCCTGGGACCTGGAGAGGCTCCCAGCACCCGCTCCGTGGGACAGAGGAAACCAGGTAACTCACGGCAGCCCCGAATAGATCTTCTTGGAGGCGTGTATGGATTCACTCTTTTTCTTTAAGCTTTTATGTAGTTCATCATCAACAAAATATTGGACAGTCTTCAGCCTGCTCCAAACTTGCAGGCCAAATGTCCCTGTGATTTAATCAGACCCAACTCAGTGACAATGATCAGACTAGCCTCCCCCACTCTGAACCTCTGCCCCACACCCTCCACCCTCGAGTCAGTCAGCAATCCCTTATGCCTGCCCCACACTTCCTGATGCCCACCATACGTCAGGCATTATGCTGGCGACTCAACAAATACGCTAGCCCTAGTGTATACTTGGAGCTCAGGCCTAAGACATCCTGCCCCACAGGTAGGAGAGAGTACTAGGGCAAGTGCTGAGTGATCCTCAGTTGGGCTTTAAGTAGCTCCTGTATGAAATGGCAGTGACATAAAATGATCAGGGGGACCGGACATGGGGCTGGGGAGGAACAGGCCTGGAGTAGAAAGCAGATTGTGAGCACAGAGACACATGAGTCCTACTACTTCTGGGCAGGGGCAGGGTATTGTAGTAGGCCACTGCCCTGCTGCAGACTTTTTTCTTTTTTTTTAATTAAGCAAAACAAAACAGGTATGTTACAAAACCATACTTCTATAAAAACCATTGGAGAGCTGTAGAAGCAAAGAAAATAGATGAACTAAAATTACAGAAAGGAAAATGTCTTTCCAAGAAGAACTGGAAATCAGGGCTTGCTTTCTTTTCTGGGAACATTTTCTGAATCAGGACACAGGCTGGGTGAGAATCATGCTCAGCTTAGCAGAAGGAAGAGAAACCAACAGAGCCTCTGGCAGCCATTTTGGCCGGCATGATGGAGTAAGTCCAGGGGAGTTCCAAGTGCAGAGTTCCTTTTCCCACTGGACATTTACTTAGTACTGGGGGAGCTGAGGGTCTGGGGTTAGGCTAGGAAGACAGAGTGAGATCGTTGGGGGACAGTGGCCCACTGGAGGAAGAAGCCTACAACAAACACAACAGACTTCACCCCAGAGACCATTGAAGACAGAAGTAAAAATCTACCTAAAGATGCAGTTCAGTCCCAACCCAGCTCAGCTCCTGGTTGTACTGGAATGTGCAGCCCTATGCACAGAAAAGAGCAAATGTAATGGAGGAAAATCATTATCAACTTTGCTCTCTACAGTCCTTTATACAAAGTTCAGAAAAGTTTTATTTTGAAGTATTTCTGTTTTGTTTTGTTTTGTTTTGTTTTTTAATGCATGTGACATGTGAAAAAATAGAAAAATGTAACCGATAATCAAAAGAAGAAATAAGCATTAGAATCAGACCCACAGATAATTCAGACATTGGAATTCGCAGATAAAGGCTTCAAAATAACTATCATAAGTAATGTTAAACAAAATAAAGGAAGATAGAACAAAATGGAGGAAGAAGAGGGGGGAATTTCAACAGTGAATTAGAATCTATAGAAAAGGACCAAATGAGTATTCTAGAGCTAACAAATGTAAAAATACAAGAATTGATCAGCTAGATTTAATAGCAGACTGGATATAGGAGACAGAATTAATAAACTGGAAGGCAGACCCGTAGAATAGATCCAAACTGGAATGGAGAGACTGAAGGAAAACTGGAGATGAAAGTTTCGGTGGAGAGAGTCACAGACGTGGGTGAATGCCTTGGATGGACAGGTATAGAGTTAAAACTAACGGGAAAGCTGACAGCCATGCCTGCAGGTCTGATATGTGCATCTGTAAGTATGCATGCAGCCAAAGAGAAGAAATTCAAAGAGCAGCTAATGAAACCAGAGAAGCTTCCCATATATACTCCACCACCTCTCCAGTCTAACTATGTTGAAGAGAAGCCTGGAAATTTACAAATGGGTTTCGTTTCCATCTGCACTGTTGGCCAGCGCAAGGATGCTTATGTCTTTGAGAAATATGGGGTAATAGAGAAATATGGGATAAATGAGAATATAGGATAACGGCTTTGTCAACAGGACTCAGATCTGAAATGAAGACCAAATCAGAGTCCACCTCAGGAGCCACAACACAGCTTATGCCTGACCCCAAGCTGGTGGATCACAGGCAGTCCCACCCAGAAGATGTCGACATCACAGCACTAGAAGCTGAAATAGTGAACAGGGAGAACCACAAGATGTGTGAGATTTCAAATAATAATATAGGGGGATCATGTCATGGGTATTTGTGACACATACAGCATAACAAAGCAAATGTATCCCTTTCATCTTCTAATGTATAGTTTGACCAATCACATAAGTGATTAAAACACAAACTGAAATACAATCCAAATGATATTAAATGATTGGCGAAGAGACAGAGGTAGTAGTATCAGGATGTATTTGATGACTTAAGGGTGTTTATAAACAAAAATATAGAGTAAATATGGGAACACCTATGAGACTAAGATCTGAAAAATATATGTATGTGTATATCTCAGTGCTTATACACACATATACTTGCTTTAGCCTTTTCTAATTAATATTAGCTAAATTAGAATGGTTTGTGAAAGGATATGGTCCCTGTCCTCTTTTTTCATTTCCTAGAGCTGTAATAAAATATGCATATTTAACCGGTTTGGCTCAGTGGATAGAGCTTAGGCCTGCAGACTGAAAGGTCCCAGGTTTGATTCTGGTCAAGAGCATGTACCTTGGTTGTGGGCACATCCCCAGTAGGGGATGTGCAGGAGGCAGCTGATACATGTTTCTCTCTCATCAATGCTCCTAACTCTCTATCCCTCTCCCTTCCTCTCTGTAAAAAATCAATAAAATGTATATGCATATTTTATTACAAAACAAAAGAAAGAAAAAATGGAAAGAACAGAGCATGCGTGACACGTGACAAAGTCAAATGTTTTGATATACACTTAATGGAACCACACAATGAGAGGAGAAAGAGAATGGGCAAAGAAATGTTGAAGAGATGATATCTGAAGATTTTTCAAAATGAATGAAGGACTCCAGATTGAAAAAGATCAGTGAACTCCAAGGAGGATAAATATAAATAAAATCACAATTTGCCACATCGTAGTCAAACTGCCACACAAAAAAAAGCAGTCAGAGAAAAATGAAAAATTACCTTCAAAGTATCAACTTACAATTGACTTTTCAAGAGAAAACAGAAGAATGGTCTTTTTTAAGTACTGAAAGAAAACATAAACTGTCAGCTGAGAATTATATATCCAGTAAAATAATAAAATTATATATCCAGTAAAATAATAAACTTTTAAGGCAAAATAAGGACGTTTTCAGAAAAATAAGAGCTTAAAGAATTGATCACTAGCAGATCAACTCTATAAGAAATAATAAAGGAAGTTCTCCAGACTAAAGGAAAATGATTGCAGACAGAACCCTGGGACTTCAGTAAGGAGCGAAGAGCAAGAGAAATGGGAAATGTGAGGGTAAATATAACTGCCCACAGGAGCATTAATAACAATGCCTTGTTGGAAGGGGTACCATCTGTAGAATAAAACATATGGGAGCATTAGCACAAACAACAGGAAAGCGAATGTAAGGTTCTTGCATAGGAAGTGGTATCAGGTCAAGAGTGCATGTTATTATCTAAAGGGCAACCAAAACAAAAACATGTCACTAAAAACAGGATAATTTTTAATTCTTGGTTAATCCAAAAGAAGACCAAAAAGCAAGAAGAAGAAGAAGAAGAAGAAGAAGAAGAAGAAGAAGAAGAAGAGGAGGAGGAGGAGGAGGAGGAGGAGGAGGAGGAGGAGGAGGAGGAGGAGGAGGAGGAGGAGGAAGAAGAAGAAGAAGAAGAAGAAGAAGAAGAAGAAGAAGAAGAAGAAGAAGGGGAGGAGGAGGAGGAGGAGGAGGAGGAGGAGGAGGAGGAAGGGAAAGAACAGATGGAATAAACAAAAAACAAATATCAGATGACAGACTAAACCATGAAAGTAATTTCATTAATATTTCATGGAATTAGACATCCAATGAAAAGGCAAAGATTATCAACGGAATGACAAATACGGCTCGGTATAAAGAATCAAGAATACTGCCGAAACTGGTTTGGCTCAGTGGTAGAGCGTTGGTCTGTGGACTGAAAGGTCCCGGGTTCAATTCCAGTCAAGAGCATGTACCTTGGTTGCGGGCACATCCCCAGTGGGGGATGTGCAAGAGGCAGCTGATCAATGATTCTCTCTCATCGATGTTTCTAACTCTATTCCTCTCTCTTCCTCTCTGTAAAAAATCAATAAAATATATTTTTAAAAGAATCAAGAATACAAAGAATATTTAAGAATATTTAAGAATATAAAGTATATTGACCTGGCTGGTGTGGCTGTTGATTGGGCATCATCCATGCACCAAAAGTTTGCCAGTTCAATTTTCAGTCAGGTCACAAGTATGGGCATGCCAGAGGCAGCTGATCGATGTTTTGTTCTCACATAGATGTTTCTCTCCCCCCCCCGCTTCCTCTCTCTCTAAAAATCTATTTTTTAAAATCTTTTTTTTTAAAGAAAATGAGAAATTTCATTGTAGAACAGGAATAAATTTAAAATATATGTTTAATGTAAACCCATAAGAGATGAAAATTCAAGAAATCCTAAGTGAATTTAAGAAAGTAATAATCCTGTGGCAGGAGAAAAGAGACCAATATAACGCAAGGAGGATGAATCCTCCACAGATGAGATGAGAAGAAACCAGACGTATTTTTAATGAACTTTAAACAACCTCATATGGCATGACAGATTATAATCCAGAAGATTCCAGCCACAGAGCTAGTCTGCAGCTACTACCAAGCACTTTGAAAGACTGTTTAGCAGAATTTACTGAGACTCAATGTATACACCTTGTGGCTCGGCAGTTCCAGTCCTAGATATATATCCAACAGAAATGCATACATTTGTTCAACAAAAAAATCTGTTTAAGAATATCCATAGCAGTGTTATAGTTAATAGAACAAAAAAATAAGCCAGAAACAACTCTAATGATCACCAGCAGTAGCACAGATGAAGAAATTATGGTATATCAACAACCGATTACTATTGAACAATGAGAACAAATAAACTACTACCTTCCACAAATGGCTGAATTGCACAAACAATAATGTTGAAAGAAAGAAGCCAGACACAAAGGATAACCTGTCACATTGCTTCATTTATACAAAGTTCAAAACCAGACGAAACCAAGCTCTGATTTTGGAAAATAGGATAGTGGTTGCTTTTGGAGGGGTCAGTATAGAGATGATCGGGTTGGGGGGATGAGGGGAGCCCCAAAGACTGGTAATGTCCTGTTTCTTTATATATAATGGAGGCTATATGGCTATAAACTTTGTGAAAATTCACCAAGATGAACCTCTAGATTTGGGCATTTTTCTGCATGTTATAATGTAAGAATTAAGTTGTTGTTTTTTTTAAGAAGAGAAAGAATATGTCTTATCAGATATATGATTTGCAAAAGAAATACAAAGACAGCCAAAACCAGTTTGGCTCAGTGGATAGAGCGTCGGCTTGGGGACTGAAGGGTCCCAGGTTCGATTCTGGTCAAGGGCATGTACCTTGGATGCGGGCACATCCCCAGTAGAGGGTGTGCAAGAGACAGCTGATCGATGACTCTCCCTCATCGATGTTTCTAACTCTCTATCTCTCTCCCTTCCTCTCTGTACAAAATCAATAAAATATATTTTTTAAAAAAAGAAATACAAAGACAAATAATAATGTGGGTGGGTGGACAGATCGCTGATGGATGGATGGATGGATGGACTGTCAAATGTGCAATTGAATAGATTCATATCCTGTAAAACTATTTGAACAAAGAAAGCTGCTGTGGTCTGAAACCCCCATCCCATGGATTATAGGGTTTCTTGTCAATTTATGTTCTAACAGGGAGAGGGACAGGAAGGGCCATGGGGCATGGCTGAACTTCAGCAGGGCCCATACCAATGGCATCGCCGGAGAGTCTCCAAGCCTTGACGTCCCGGTCATGGCCTGCACTAAGCACCAGCTCATAGCTGTCCACATACAGGATGTCTGCCACACTATCCAAATGGCCCTTCCAGGTCATCAGAAGCGTGGGGGGAGCCAGGGAAATGGTCTGGCCATCAATGACCTACAGGAGACCGTACAGAATAATTACTTACAGCAAGACCATCGCATCGGCTCATCAGAGGGCACCGGGGACTAGACGAAACAGAGCCCTCAGGGCCAGGAGACACTCCTGCATGAATTTCTGGTGACCTTAGTTAAGTCCCCGCACTTCTCTGGCCCTCACTGCCCCTTTGGTAAAATCATAAAAAGCACTTACAGCCCTAACTGGTTTGACTCAGTAGATAGAGCACTGGCCTGCGGACTAAAGGGTCCCAGGTTTGATTCTGGTCAAGGGTACATGCTCTGGTTGTAGCTTCGACCCTCAGTGCAGGAGGCAGCTGATCAATGATTATTTTTTTAAGCATTTACATATTGCTATATTATTTTTAATGTTTTTATTAATTTCAGAGAAAGGAAGAGGGAGAGAGAGAGGAATAGACATAATTGTTGAGAATCATTGATCGGCTGCCTCCTGCATGCCCCATGACTGGGGATCAAGCCCACACCCTGGGCATGTGCTCTGACTGGGAATCAAACGCTGACCACTGAGCAACACTGGCCAGGCATATTACTATATTACTTACCAATGCTCTCCCTATAGATTATTCCATTTGAACACAACAACCTTATGGGATGTGTATGAGTCTCACCATTCCACAAAGAAGAGAAGTGAGTCAGAAATGTTCAGTAACCAGCCCAAGCCACATGCTGAGATAGTGATGGGGTTAGGAGAAGAATCCAGGTCTTCTGAAGTATTCACTTGGGCATTGGTAGTAGAATAGGATGAATAGGGGATGGCATATCATATTATAGTATGAAAAAATAAACTGTTCTTAACAGCAAAATTAGTGAAAATATCCACGACCATTGTAAAAACAAAAACAAACAACAACAAAAAGATTAATTAATGGGGCCCAGCCGGGGTGGCTCAGTGGTTGAACATCAATCCAGGAACCAAGAGGTCACTGGTCTGATTCCCAGTTAGGGCACATGCCCACTTTGCAGGCTCAATCCCTAGTAGGGGGTGTGCAGGAGGCAGCCAATCAATAATTCTCTCTCATCATTGATGTTCCAATCTCTCTCTCCCTTCCTCTCTGAAATCAATTTAAATATATTTTTAAAGTATTAAAATATGTAATACTTTCAACAATAAAGATTTAAAAAGAAAACATCTAAAAAGGAGAAATAATTATAATAATCTGAGCAATAAAGATTTATTAAATTTGAAAAAAATAAATAAAATATAAAAGAAAATACCATTATAACAACTTTATGCTATTACAATTTAAAAAAAAGATTAATGAAGGGGAACATATTTTACCATATTCAAGTATATTAAGTCACAATAGTACAAACTTTAAACAAAACAATGGAAGACAATAGAGAGCTCACAAACCAACCCAAATAAAACTTTGGTATATGATAAAAGTGGCAGGAAAGCTGTGGTAATACAGAGCAGGACCCAGTAGACTATGCTGGAATACCTGATGAACTCCTAAGGGAAACTTAAATTATTGTCATATATCTTACAACTTAATGAACTGTAGATGGGTCAAAAAATTATTTTCAATGAAACCATAAAACATCTAAAAGAAACTATGTGTGACTATTTATCTTACCTCTGAATAAGCTTAAAAGAGAAAATAAGTCTGTAGATTCAAATTTGGAGTCACTAGCAAATCAATACCTTCAAAAATAAAATTAAAAGGCAAATGACAAATTGGGAGAAATATTTGCAATATATGTGACAGACGATGAGTTAATACCTTTTAATATATTTTAAAATAAGTATATGTCATTTACAAAAAGATGGTTACCACAACAGAAAAATGGGCAAAGGGCATGAAGAGGTAATTCACAAAATTATACATGGTCAATAAAATAAGGAAAGGTGTCAACATCATTAACAAGCAAAGTTATCTTTATTAAAATCAAAAGAAATCATTTGTATCTAAAAATCAGCCAAAAGTGTTTGGTTTGTGTGGGTTTTTGTGGGTTTTTGTTTTGGTTTTTTTTTCCACTTCAAACATTTATTTATGTATTGAATGCCTTCTCTAAGCAAGGCACTCTGATTGACCCATCAGTCCTACACTCGGATGAATACCACCAATACCTTACGTTGTGAAAGATAAAGCAAAACAGGCTAGTAAAGTGCAAAATTGTATAAACTTTCTGGAATGCAGTTTGGCAGTATCCACTAAAGGCCTTAGAAAGGTTGATGTTCTTTTTTTCTATTTAATGCTTTTTTTCCCCAGTTTTCAATATATTCAATATCATTTTGTATTAGTTTCAAGTGTACAGCTTAGTGGTTAGACAATCATACACTTTATAAAGTTTTCTCCCTGGTATTTCCGGTACCCACCAGCACCATACATAGTAATTACAATATTATTGACGATAGTTCCGATGCTGTAGACATCCCCGTGACTATTTTGTAACAACCAATCTGTGTTTCTCCGTATCTTCACCTTTTTCACCCGGTCCTCCAACCCCTCTCCCCTCTGGCAACCACCATTCCCTTCTCGGTAACTATGAGTCTGCTGCTATCTTGTTTGTTCACTTATTCATATTATTCTTTAAATTTCATATAAGTGAAATCAAATGGTATTTTGTCTTTCTCTGACTGGCTTATTTCACTTAGCATAATACTCTCTAGGCCCATCCATGCTGTCACAAAAGGTAAAATTTTATTCTTTTTGTATTTCCAAAGTGGAATCACTGGGTCATAGGCAGTTCCATTTAAAATTTATATTCTTCTGCATACTATCTCCTTGGAATACATTACCAGATGTGAAGATAAACAGCTACAAACAAATAAAAAAGATTCATGAAAAACAATTTTTTGCTCTATAATTTTATACTATTAAAAACGTTTTTATTAAAATATAATTCACATACAATTTACTCGTTTACAGTGCTCACTTCGATGGTTTTTAGTATATTCACAGAGTTTGCCATCACCATCACAATCAAATTTAGACCATTTCATCACCCATAGTTTGTATAAATGGAATCATATAGTATGTGACTGGCTTCCTTCACTTAACATAATGTCTACAAGGTTCCTCATGCTGTAACATGCATTGGTACTTCCTTCCTTTTTCCTGGAGTGCTGCCCCAGTGCCCCACCTCCATGGCGCACACGCAGGGCTGTGGAAAATCCGGCAGAAACCACACACAGCAGCCACGGTCCTGCCCCTACTGCCCTGCCCCAGCTGTGCAATGCCACCATCTTGAGACAACGTTATGCTGTGAGGGTAAATTTGCGTATTACCTCTTTATTATATAGGATACTAGCAAATACATGTAAACCATTCATTTCCAATACCAGATATTATTCTGTACAGTATATATACCACAATGTATTTTTCCAATCTACATTGATGGGCATTTGGGTTGTTTGAAATGTGAAGTTATTACAAATAGTAATCCTATCAACAGTCTTATTCATATTTCTTAGATTTCGCTTGGTTGTAAACCTAGGAGTAGAATTGCTGAGTTATGGAATAGGCACATCCAGCTTTAGTAGCTATAGCTCTCCAAAGTGATTTTACCAATGTACATTCCTACCAGCAGTGGAAATTCCAGTTGACCTGTATCCTTGCCAACATTTGGTATTGCTTGTCTTTTTAGTTTTAGTCATTGTAGTGGGTGTGCAATAGTATCACATTGTGGCTTTAATTTGCATTTTCCTGATAATGAAAAGGTGCTCAACTTCATTAGTCACCAGAGAAATACTGATTTTTGAACTATATAAATGTATTCCCTGCTCAAGAAAATACATAAATATTTTTATTATTTTTAAAAAGACTGCATGATTGCCCAATGTGTCCAAACCAACCAGACAACCTGGAACAGGAAACAGGAGAGACTCAGAATTTCAGTGCAAGCATCGTGGCCCAGCCATTTAGTAGAGCATAACCAATACTCTTCCTACCTCCTTCTGGTCCGAGGGGGTGTTGAATTGGATGTTGGACTGGATCAGTTTAGGAATTAAGAACTGGAACTTGTTTATTGCACTGGGTTGAGGTGACTGTCCCTCCGTGACTGTGCAGTATTCATCGATGTCCCAGACCTGGGCACGAAATGTGAATTAGTGGCCCAGCACCACTTCCCTCCAGCACAAGCTCACTCTGGACCCCTCCCAGACCCACTGCTTTAGCAGGGCGGCTCTTATTCACACCCCTAAGATAACCAGATGGTCAGACCCAGAAGGGGCCCAGGGAATCTTCTAGGTCAGACCCCTCACTAGCATGCAGAGAGGGTGGCCCCAGGACAAGACCCTCTTGCCTTGTGTCTCACCACAAAGCATGAAACCCGTCCCTGAAACAACTGGCCTCAGGTAAGATGCATGGCTGAGGGTGAACGGGCTTTAGGGAGACAAGGACGACACAGGATTCACTGGGGAAGGCTTCTTGGAGGGGCCTTTCGAACCAAACCCTCAGTCATTTACCGGGGCGCACCAGCGCAGGAGAGGACTTCTAAGGTAGCCCATCCTATTATTGCCCATTATTTCACAAATGAAAACATACCCTGAGGGAGTAGGGACTAGGCTAGGGCCACCTGTGACGAAGAGGGGGCTAGCATTTGGCTGACATCAGCCTCTCAGTCTCAGTGCCACCTTCCTCACCTTGATGAACCCTTTACTATCCCCTGTGACAAGAATGCAGTCATTTTCGTCAGTGGCCATGGCGCCCACGGTCACGTCTCCTTGGTCTTCGGAGTCCACGCGGAACTTCGCCAGCAGGCCTCCGTACCCATAGATGGACCAGGCGTAGATGTAGCCGTCAATGCAGCTGCTCAGCAGGGCGGCCGTCTGTGGCAGGCGAGGCCGGCTTTGCAGGAAGATTATCTGTGCGAGAGAGGCGGGCCTGCTCAGCTGGTCGCTGTCACACGGTGCTGAGGGGCCTGCCTGGCAGGTCACCACACTGATCTGGCCCCCGATAAACTAGATGCCCCGTGAGAATGGTGATGGGGCACCACACTTCCTCCCTCACTGGTAACCAGAAACATTTTGCCGAGCTATGAGCTCCTAGATGGCAAGGGGTTGTGTCTGTTTTTGTTCATGACTTTATCCTCAGCAACTAAGATGATGGAATAGATGCTGAATTGTCCTAAGGCTCAAACAAGATTTTCTAAGACCTGTAACTCAACCCAGAGCTCTTTGGAGGATGAGTTCATTCCCTTTCATATATATCATTACCGTGAGACATTTCTATTTTAATGTATAAACATTTCTAAAAAGCGTCTTGACCAAATTCTTCTTCAGGTCTTATTTGAATCATGCCCTTTGCTAATTCCCCCTTGTGCTCACTTTCGCTTACACGGTCACCCCTGTGGCTTACGAGAGGGCCACCTTGCGGAGTCACTCTGTACGGGGAGCATGTGAAGAGGGCTGCTCGCCCGGGACCACCTCGCACGAGGCAGAGAGAGCACAGTTAGGGATACAAAGTAAGTCAGGCCAAGCAACGGGAACTGGAGGCTTCGCGACTCAGACTAAGTCAGAAATTACAGTGGTGGCTTGTGGGTTCCCACAACATGCCTTCAACAACAACACTAGAAATCTCTTCTATTCTCATCCTGGGGTCCAAAACAAAATGTCCAACCTGCAGGTGCCAGGGTCACAGAACCAGGAGCTCCTAAACCAAAGAAAAAGGCAAGCATTTCCCCATTTTTGCAAGTGTACTTGTGCACTGCACAAAATGTGGACAGCACAGGTCGATGAGAAAAGATTAAATCACCCACAGGATCCCAATAACCAGAAATAATCACACTACGTTTTTAATGCATTTCCTTCAGCTTTTTTCTAATTGCATTGTCTATAAAGACTTTCATCATATCTCTTAAAAATGTAAAACATCCATGCAAGAACAGAAAAATATGCCAATGGAAAAACAGAGAGGGTTAGAAATAGATTATAGAAGATTATCATATATAATAATGATAGAATTTCAAGATAGTAGAGAAAAAATAAACTATTCAACAAATGGTATTTAATTAACTGGCTACCAATTTTTTAAAAAATCACACCATAGACAAAGTTACTTAGATGAAAAAAAAGCTGACTAAAAACATATAAAATCATAAATGTCTAGAAGAGGCAATGGTAAGATCTGTACACATATAATACCTTAATAAAAAAATAAATGTCTAGAAGAAAATACAAGTCCGGCCGGCATGGCTCAGTACTTAAGCATCAACATATGAACCAGGAGGTCCCAGTTCAGTTCCCAGTCAGGGCACATGCCCGGGTTTCAGGCTTGAGTGCAGGAAGCAGCTGATCAGTGATTCTCTCTCATCATTGATATTTCTCTCTCTCCTTCTCCCTTCAATAAAAATATATTTATTTATTTATTTATATATATATATATATATATATATATATATATATATATATATGTGTGTGTGTGTGTGTGTGTTTATATATATAAATATATATATATGTTTATCAATAAATATATATATGTTTATCAATAAAAATATATTTTAAAAGAAAAGATAACAAATTTTTCTGTGACCCTAAGCCTCAGTGTGATACCACAAAGGCAGATGAGGTGAAAATATTTTTAATACACAAACAGGCAAAGGATTAATTTCTAGAGCATATAAAGAGACCTAGAACTTAATAAAAAGAATTTAAAAAGTAGATGAATAGACATTTATTTCATTAAAGAAATACAAATATATGACAAATATACAGAAAGCTCAATATCACAAATAATCAAATAAATAACCCTCCAAAATGCTGTTTTCCAGTCACCAGACTAGCAGAAATGAATGGCTAATGGCCACCTCCTCTGTGAAGCCACCCCTGACCACCCTATTAAGACAGTAGTGTCCTCTTCACCTCCTATGCCATTCTCCCTGCCTTCTTCCCAGTGTTCTTGTTCCCTGCTGTGCTGGCTCTGCCCTGTGGCCTATCATTTATTTTACTCACTGAACTAGAATGTCAGCTCCATTAGGGCAGGGGTTCTCGTCCCTCACTGCTGCCCCCACGCCCAGTGCTTGGCACGTGGCACGTGCTCAGTGGGTAACTGTCTGTGCCCCGACAGAACTCAGTCACGGACCCATAAGGTGGGTCCTCTCCCTCAGTCAGAGTCATGGATTGAAAGGACTGGGGTCTGTTGGCAATTCTGCTCCCAGGAATCCATGCTTTCAATATATTCCCGTACATGCACAGAAACGCATATATAAGGGTGTCCAGTGCAGTGCTGAACGTAAGAGCTCCATGCGTGAACTAAGCTGCCAGTCTGTCAGTGGAAGGCTGGCTTCATCGTTTATGATACATTCAGCCTATGAGGCACTATGCAGGGATTAAAAGGCATAAGTCAAAAAATAAGCTGAATCTAAATTACTGCTATAAAGATACATCCATGGTATATAGTTAATTTAAAAAACAAAAACAAAAACAGTAAATGGCCCAGACAGCGTGACTCAGTGGTTGAGTGTCAACCTTTGAACCAGGAGATCATGGTTTGATTCTTGGATCTCCCATCAGGGCACATGTCTGAGTGGACTCAATCCCCAGTAGGGGCAGGGGGGTTGCAGGAGGCAGCCAATCAATGAGCTGGAAGACAGAGAAAGCAGCTCAGGTCCCTGTCCTTCCTTTCTGAAATCAATACAAATATCTTTAAAAAAAAAAAAAAAAAAAAAAAAAAAAAAAAAAAAAAAAAACTGCAAATGGCAGGACTATAATTTAGCTATAATCTAGCTATAATTTTACCTCCTTGGGCTAAAAATAAAAGGCCAAGGCTAAACCAATCCATTATCAGTGATGGCGACCATTACTTTTGGGATGGAATGGGGGCGGGGGGAGGCAGAAAGGATACATCGGGGACCTTTACTTTTCACTTTATGCACACTTCTTTTTCGTTTTTTACCAAAACAAAACCTTTAAAGGAGAGGAAAGCATGGTCAGGAGCCGGGGGAGAGAATGTGTGGAGGCTCGCCAGTCTCCGCTCCGGCGCTCAGGACCCAGCTCTGCAGGCCCGGCTCCCCTGCTCGAGGCCCTGGTCCCCTGGGGGAGGGGGCAGCCCGGCCTTTCCTAACACAGCTATGACTCTGGTCTTCACTGGCTCATCGCAGGCATTTAGGAAACCCATACGGTCTCTTAATGACCCCGGCTTTGCAGAGGAAAGCTGGAAGGGGCCTTTGATGACAGCACAGTGGGGGATGATTGGAGCCCGAAAGGGGAGAGGCACAGGAGGAAAGGAGAACAGATACGACCCAATCCCCCTCACGTGTCATACAGAGCACCTCACCGGAGCACAGGAGGGCATTTAAAGTGGATTCTGGAAATGCTCCTTTTCCTCCCTCCCAGGCCAGCACCCCCAACCAGGAGGGGGACACTGTTCACCTTCCTCGACAACCCCCCCCCCCAATACCGTGGAACTTCCCCCCAGACACAGCAGTCCTGAACCCAAATCCTGAGCAGTACCATCGTCTCCACCACACCTCTCCTGGCCCTGGGGAGAACCAGGCTGGGCCCCGATCCCCACGGGCACTGCATTTCCCAACCCCACCCCACTGTCCACCCCGGCTCACACCCCAGACCCGCCTGAGCATGGCCAACCTTCTCCACCGACGCATTCGACTGCTGGAACTCCCTCTTCTGCAGTTCCGCTTTCGTCCTTTCCTTCTCTTGGAGGAGTGACTGTCTCTGGTAGTACATTCTTAAGAGTCTGAGGCTGCCAACACTGTGTTGTTTCTGGGGGGAAAAATGAAAATGGGCCTCCCGGGTCTCCCTGGCTAATGGGGAACAGACGAGAGGCAGGTGCTGAAGGAGCGGTCCCCAGCCCCACGCAGTAGAGGCACCGCCCTGTGAAAGGCACAGCTGGGGTCTCACAGGCCCTGAGCCAATGGGAGTTGAGTTTGCTCTGGGGGAAGGCCCTCCCTTTGCCCTGGAAGAGATGCCCTGGCTAAAGGTCAGAATAAAGCAGTGTCTACAAGCCGTTGTTCGAGGAGATTTGAAGATGGTGATGGTATCAGTGACTTGTGGTGTTATCCAGGGGCTGCCCCTTACAGCAGAACTGACCCCCGGGGGGTCATATGGGATCCGGTTCTAGGCTACCTGGTGCCTGACAGGGACTGTGTGCCTCCGTTCCCAGGAGTCAGACGTCAGTGGCTAAAACTATCTGACTGGCTTCCAAGCCCCGTTCAAGAGATTACTGTCTCCACTGCAGGGTCTGAGGCCAAACCACCCCCGGTGAGTAGGGAGAGGGCAGCCCCCTGGCTCTTTCTTCCTACTCTGCCCCCCCACCCCCACCCCAATAGAACCTTCAGTGAAACTGGAAGAGTTGATCCTAGGGCAGACACCAGGGCTCAGAGGAGGAGGGAAGCGGTTTGCACCTAGGAGTCTGGTCTCCAGGGAGCTAAGGCTTATTGGGGAGGTAGGGGAGCCTTTATGGCTCCTCCCTGCTGGGGCAATGGGAGCTGGAACACAGAGAAAGCAGCCCAGGATCTAACTCCAGCTGCAGGTTCTCTGGTTGTCTTGCCTCCAGGTCCTGCCCATGAGCTTGCAGACATCAGGTCTAGTATGGGAAGGGACGATGGCCAGGCACGAGGCAACAGAGTGGGTTAGATACCATGGGCATAATCAGGGAGGTGCCTGCCTGGTCCAGCACACTCAAGAAAAGTGTGTTAACGAACCTAAAGGCATTCTGGGTAAAGTGCCTCCTAATAAGGAATCACACACACAGGAGGCAAGCTGAGGTGCCTAGAGGTGTCCATGAGGTCCGAAAGGCTGGCGACCACTGGTCTAGAGAGTAAGGGAGGATGCCCGGGTCAGTTCTTGCTCCCACCTGCAAGAGCACAGGCGTCTCTTCTGGCTCCTTGATCTTGGGGTGTCTCATCACAGGGGGTGCTGACATCAGGTTCCGCCTCGGTTTGGTGTTGGCCACAGTCTTGGTGCTGTGGTCCAGAGAATACACGCTGGATTTGTGTGCCCACTTCGGCTCCTCCACACAGGGGTCGCTGCTCCTGAGGCTCTCAACCACGCTCCCATCCTCTCTCTGCACCTGTGCCAGAGAGAGCAGCCCCCGGGGCTGGGCAATGTCCCGGGAGGAAATGCAGGGTCTCCCAGTCTAACACCAACAGCACAGGGCCCTCCAGGTGCCCAGAGCATGCTTCCCAGAAACTGAGCACCCTTAGAGGCATCAACCCAGCACCTGGGACCCTGTCCCTGGGCCAACCGCTAATGCCCTGAGTACCCATGGGCAGGAGACTGCTGCTGCGAGGAACTCAGTCTTCCCGTCTCTAAAATGGACAGTGGTTTCCAAATACTGTTTTTTAGGATGTTTTTCATCTTAAGGGAAAAGCTCCAAAGTATAAAATAGACAGAAAGCTGGGAGAAGCCTCTTCAATAGCTTCCAAGCATCTTTCCCCAACATGTTCCAAAAGCTACTGCATGAGGTGACCCCAAAGGCCCTTCCAGCTTTAAAGTGCAAAGATACGGCAATTCAGAGACTGTGTGGGTTTCCTAAGGCCTTGCCATGAGCTCAGTGAGCCCGGAGTGGTCATGTGTTCTAGAGACAGGTAAGACGTGAGCCATCTTCCAGGACAGAGTAATCTATGGAGAGAACACGTACCCCAAGGCTCTGGAGGGAAACTGCCTGGGTTTGACCCAGCACTTCTGGCTGTGTGACCTTGGGCAAGATGCATAACCTCTGTGTGCCTTAGTTTCCTCATTTGTCGAATGAGGTTAAGTATAGAAACTACTACCTACCTAGCTCCCAACCTCCTGCAGAACAAGTCACCACCATCCTCTCTACTTCCCAGGAGGCTCCCTCTACCCTCCTTCCCCGGGTCCAGTGCGATGCTGGCCCACAGCTAAGAGAAAGAGGAGAGAACAGCGTGTTCCTATTGGCCATACCCTCTGAAGCAGCAAGGGCAAGGGGCTCTGAGAGGCGTTGAATTTGAGGATGGGCTTGAGCATGTTGACGTTCCAGAAGAGGATGTCCCCGTTGTAGGAGGAGGTCCCGATGAACTGGTTCTGGTACTTGGACACACTCAGGATATCCTCGGTGTGGAAGGTCTCCCAGTGGTCGCACAAGATCACCGGCTTGGCCTTGTGGAACCTGCACACATGGCCAGAGGCAGGGGGGCTGAGAGCTCAGCCTTCATGCTCCATTGCAGGAGCCTGGACTCAGGGGAGGGCGCATGGGGTCGGGACAGGGCTGACGCCCTGCCCTGCTGACCTCATTTACTAAGCACCCATCATGCGCCTACTGTCAAGGCCCTGTTCGAGGGCTTCACGTAAACTAATCTTACAATTTGCACCACTCAGCCACTTGAGTAAGGACTCAGGTTTAGAGAAGAGGAAACCACTGCCCTGAAAAGGCCCTCTGAGGAGGAAGGGGTCTTTCACGTATATTTCTCCCCTCTGCCCGGAATGTTCTTCCTATCCCAAACTCTTAGCTGCTTCAGTAAGACCCCTCTGCTCACTCTTCAGATCCCACTCCCCTACCTATAAAATCCTTAGGTGAGCTTTTTCTGACCACCCCTCAGGCTAAATCATATTTCTGTCTCCTTCCCATAGAAACCTCTATCAATAGAATGTAGCGTTCCGAATGAAGTTATTTGATCAGCTCAACCCCATAGAGGCTCCAGCAAGATGGAGAATCTATCGTTCTTGTTTATACCCATCCCAGCACCTTCCACAAAGCGGAGAGCCCATCACCTCAGGGAGTGGTGAACAAATGGGTGGATGAGCAGGTGAAGCCGTGGACATTACCCACTGCTAATGGCCTGCTGGTGTTCTAACCGCCTGCAAAGCCGGGAAAGGAGGAGCCCACCTACCCACACGCACCCTTGCTACTCACTTGTACGAAGTGATTCTCTTATTCCACCCGCTCACGTAGAACACTTTATTCATATGGATAATCCCACTAATCTGTGGAAGGGGAAAGAAAACAGAACCCTAAGGTAACTCAGTGAAAACAGTTCTGGGCCTGGAATATCTTCCTAATCACACCAAGCAACAAGCCAACACTCCCCGCGTGAGGAGAATTCTCTAGAGAGGAGACCACCACATTTTTCTCAAGGTTTCCTCTCATCCCATCAGTTGACAGACTTGGAGGAAGCAAATCGGGTGGGTATCTATGTCCCCTTTCTAGGGGATGACTGAAAACAGACAAGGGACTTGGCTAAGGTCAAAGACCCAGTGATAAGACCTGGACTGGTACTCAACCCCTGGCTTCTTGACCATGTGCTCTTTCTGACCTGGTTAGAGGACTGTGCCATAGGCGTTAGGAATGGTCTCAAGTCCCAAAGTGGGACTGGTGGCTTTGGCGTGATGCCACACCCACAAACTGTCTCTGTAACTCTGCCAGGCATTTCCCAAACAGAGTCCAGCATGGGTGGCTCTGGATCACCTGCCGCCACTGCTAGGATCCCAAGCTCTCGTACGCACGTACATACGTGGGGTAAGAAATGCTAACAAACTAAAGCCAGTGGTGAACATTTGTAGAATGCTTATTAAGAACAGGGGCTATCTGGGGGAGATAATAGATCAGCCGAAGGACTTGTATACATGCATATAAATACAACCAATGGACACAAAACTCTGGTGAGGGAGGGTAAATATGGGAGGGGGGGGGCAATGTTAAAATATGTTCACAGATAATAATTTAATAAAAAATGTAAAAAAAAAAAAAAAAAAAAAAAAAAAGAACAGGGGCTATTGCCTTGTCTTCACTTTCCTCTTGAGGACAGAGGCTCAGGGAGACGTGAAGCCGCACAGTACCTGTGGACAGCCCTCAGGGGGGCATATGAAATGGGGGCCCCAGAGCCACGGGAGTTGTGCTTAGCTTCTCAAGAGGGTATGTATGGGGGGGGGCGGGCAATGTTAAAATATGTACACAGATAATAATTTAATAAAAAATGTAAAAAAAAAAAAAAAAAAAAGAACAGGGGCTATTGCCTTGTCTTCGATGGACCAGACTGACCTCCACCTTGTCGGGGTTGGGGAAGGTGAGCAGGCATTCGCCAGTGCCATAGTTCCACATCTTTATGGTGCCGTCACGCGACCCCGTGAGCAGGCACCGCTCGGGCTCATCCAGGGTCATGGCAGTCAGCTCCACTTGCTGGTCGCGGCTCACCAAGAACTCTACGGTCCTCTTGCCTGTGATGATCTCCCACACACTCACCACGCCGGTCACACTGCCGCTCACCACCTGCGGGGAGTACACCGGTGTCACAGCGAGGCCTCGCCCAGCCCCCCACCACACACACTGAGAAGACAGGCATTCACGGACCCCGGCTGCCAGATCACCCCCTCTGGAAAACAGGCCTTCCTCGGGGCAGTGCAGCCTGGCACAGCTCCTGAGAAGGAGCCAGTTTGGTGAAATTCCCTTGAACTCAGAAATGGCGTTTATCAGAATCTATCCAGAGAAAATAACCTCTAATTCGGGGGGGCGGGGGGGGGGGGACCTTTTACTGAAGCGTCATTAATGTCGGAGGTGGCACAGGAAATATAGTAACTGGCCCCTACGAAGGAAGTACAGAGAGTAGAAGATGGTCACTCCACTCAGTGCAACCTTTTGCTGCCATGGCAAGCATTCCAGTGCAACGGGAGGGTTGAGAACAACCCTCCTGCTGAGGATGCCCAGAAAAGCTGGGGTTGGGGGCTATAACTGTGGCAAAGCATTGAGGAGCCCAAAGTATGCAGGATGGTGGTGCCAGGAGCCAAGGTGAGAGGGAAATGCTGAGAGGCGAGCTCTGTGGCACATATAGCCTTCCCTGCCCAGAACCCAGGCCAGAAAAGGGGGCCAAGTAGAAACTTGGGGCCCTTTCGATCCCTACACCTCAGAAATCGTGTGCCCAGTTACCCTGACCAGCCCAGAGGTCTCTACTCAGGACCAGGGTGCTGCCCGCGGCCTGAGCCTCCCTCCCTTCCCTGAGTGGACAAAGTTGAACTAAGGCAGTGGTGGGCAGACTGCGGCTCTCGAGCCACATGTGGCTCTTTGGTCCCTTGAGTGTGGCTCTTCCACAAAATACCACGGCCTGGCAGTCTATTTTGAAGAAGTGGTGTTAGAAAAAGTTTAAGTTTAAAATTTTTGGCTCTCAAAAGAAATTTCAATCGTTGTACGGTTGATGTTTGGCTCTGCTGGATAATGAGTTTGCCAACCACTGAACTAGGGCTTCCCTAGAAAATGATGCCCAGGCCGAAACCGGTTTGGCTCAGTGAATAGAGCGTCAGCCTACAGACTGAAAGGTCCCAGGTTCAATTCCAGTCAAGGGCATGTACCTTGGTTGCGGGCACATCTCCACTGAGGGGTGTGCAAGAGGCAACTGATCGATGATTCTCTCTCATCGATGTTTCTAACTATCCCTCTCTCTTCCTCTCTGTAAAAAAATCAATAAAATATATTTTAAAAATAAATAAATAAAAATAAAATAGTCTCTCCCGAAAGAAAGAAAGAAAGAAAGAAAGAAAGAAAGAAAGAAAGAAAGAAAGAAAGAAAGAAAGAAAGAAAGAAAACGATGCCCAGGAACCCTGCAGAGCAGCCCACCCCTACCGTCCCATCTCACATTCACGTAAAGAAGGCTGCCTGTCAGAACTGACCTGGGGCAGCAGCCAGGAGCGCACAGGCTCAGAGGAGTCAGGCAATCCGCTGGCCAAGGGGCGGGGCTCCGTGGGCCAGCCCCTCTGCAGGGCTGTTTCTCATCCAGACCCCGCTGCCCCACCGCCATGAGAGTCCGCACTCCCGGCCACCTGCCCTGACCACCCCTTGGATCTGGACACCCCAGGAGGTGTGGGACCTGCCCCGAGCTAACCAGCTCCCCTGCCAGTCCCAGAGACCAGCTGGCCCGCTCACCTGCTTAAAAACCTTGCTGTAGAGGACAGCACACAGGGGCGCGCTGTAAGTCGTGGTCTTCTCCTCGGTTCTCCCAGGCTCCTCGGTCTCCACGTACCCTTTTAGGATCCCAATCTGTAATGAGGAGAAGGGCAGACCAGAGGGCTCTACCCTCATTGACTGGCCCCACGGAGAAACTTCCAGTAAACTGAGACATCAAGACAACCTAACTACTAGTACACATAGGACTGAGCCTGGCAAGACTCCTCTAAGCCCTACTCCATGTCACCCCTCTCTGAGACCGGGGCTCCCAAACCCTAGTGCTCCTAGACCCCCCAAAGTCCAAGTTCCCCTCTTATAACGTCTGAGAAGCATACAGCCTCAGTCCAGTGTCCTTTCTTCCAGGCTATCCCTACCCCAGGCTGAGCTAAGTATCTTTTTCCTGTGCTCCATGAAGCACCTAGCATAATGTCCACCATAATACATTGCATTTTCTACATTTCCTTCTACCCCATAGCTTCCTCCAGGGATCAGACAGTGTCTAAGTAATATATTCTCTGCCCCTAACAAAGAGCAGGGGGTTGATAATGTTTGATGACGTGAAATGATCTTCAAAGGTCTATTTAATTCAACCAACGCTGGCAGCCATTCTGACGCTCAGCAGAGATGAAGGAACCCACCACCTCCTAAATTTCAAGAACCCTACCGTGTGGGGGAGAGCCAGCCAAGGACATAAGAACAATATACGAGTCCCCGGCCAGAGTGGCCTGGCCAACAGAAGGTGCAAGGCCTCCGTGGAAATACCCCTAACTCTTAGCCACAAATGACACCCTTGTCTCCCTTCCCATCGTGGCTGCTGGTTGTCCTCACAGCTCCCTAAACTCCCATCTTGTCACAGGCCCCGGTGCCACCCTGCACAGGCAGCCCCTTGTGCTTCTCCTGGCCTGTGCTGTCCTCCAGGGTCAGAGTCAAGCCTAAGGTGACCAGACGTCCTGCTTTTGGCGGGACAGTCCCTATTTTTAACAATTTGTCCCGTGTCCCGGGATATTTAAAAAAAAAAAAAAAAAGTCCCGATTTTTGGAAAGATTCTTTTAAATCTTTGACTTTTTTAAAACACCACAGGACACGGGACAAATTGTTAAAAATCGGAACTGTTCCGCCAAAAGCGGGATGTCTGGTCACCTTAGTCAAGACAGACTGCACATGGGCAGCAGGGAAGGTGAGATGGTCTCACGTCTGGTCTCTCCTCTGGAGGGCTACTCAGCTGCGGTCCTGCCTTCCTGGAGTTCACAGTTTGCCAAGAAGTTCCTGTAAGCGTTCCAGGACACAGTTGTAAGGGCTGCGATCACCGGGAGGCACAGGCCCAAGGGAGCTCGGAGGGGGAGCCCCTTACTCAGCCGGGGGGGCAGGAAAAGAACAGACAAAGCAGCAACAAAGAGGCTGGCAGCTGGGGGCCTATAAACAGCTTCCAGGAAATCCCAAGAGATGAGAAACTCATGGGTGAGCCACACAGCGTCATGAAGAGCTGTCTGGGGAGGGACAGTCTGTGACTATCCCTCGCTGGCCTGTGGGACTTCAGACCCGGCCACAGTGGCTCCATCCTGTACAGCCACGATGCCGCCTCTCCTGCCCGGCACTCACTGAATAGGTGCTGCAGATGAGGGTGTTGTCATTCTCCCGGAGGTAGATGCTGGTGATGGGGCAGTTTCCCAGGGCAAAAAGCCTGCCACAGAAGGATTGGATGCATATATACTCCTGCAGGTCCCACACGCGGATATTCTAGGAGGTAAAAACAAAAACAAAAACAAAAACAAAACAAACCAGAGAGGCTAAGAGTGGGAGGCAGCTGGCAACAGAGGCCTTGGGATGGGAGCAGGTCAGGGGCCCACTTCCAATGCACACCCTCTGCGCTTAGTGTCTGCCACTGATCCTGACCCTATAACAGATGTTTCTGTGCTCTAAGAAGAAACCGTGGCCTCACTCTCTCCCCCTGTCCCAGCCTTCACCCAGGACCTCCCGCCTGCGTGAGCGGACGCCATTCAGTGGTGGAAGACCACGCCAGGCAGCATGCGCCCCTGCAGACCTCACGGCTGCCCCTCCATCCTCCTCAAACACAACCAGGTAGAACGAGGAGTGGCTACCAATACTGCTGCCCCAAAGGCCCACCTGTCCCGACAGGATCCCCCTCGAGTTTGTCAGGTTGAGAAAGTGTCCCTCGAGAGGCCCCTGGAGAGCTGGGGGTGCAAGTTTGGGTTGGGGGGAGGGTGGGAGCAGGGAAAGACTCATGTGTGTGTATACCTACTATGTGCCAGACATGGCATTCCTCCTTTACCCCCCATTTTCCTCTAAGCTAGGGGTGTCGAACTCAATCAGAGAAGGGGCCAAAATCTAAAATCCAGCCTAAATCGCGGGCCGAATGGTTTACTGAACAGTCATAAACTGTCATTGTGATGGAAACGCAGCGGAGTGCAGTGATGACAGCGCGGTGCGGGCCACATTGCAAGGCCTGGCGGGACGGATTTGGCCCGCGGGCCTTGTGTTTGACACATGTGCTCTAAGCCACTGACAACCATCCCATGGAAGGGGCATATCTACTCCTGCAGGTCCCACACTCGGTACATGAAAGGGAAGGGTGTGGCCCAGGACCACAGCCAGGCCGGGCACCCGAGAAGCCGGCTCCAGCGGGCTGCTCGGAGCTAGGCTCAGGCCCCGCATGGCGACTCCCCCCGGGGCATCTCCCTCTAGGCCTTAGGCCGGGCGAGAGACCACAGGCAGGGTGGTCACACCATTCCCCTGGGCCTCAGGCGCCTGCCAATGGCCAGCCTCCCGGCTGCCCAAGCTAGACCCCTGTCCCCAGGAGGGTGTCTCTGGCGCGGGGGGTGGAGGGCCACGCTCCCCCCGGGCAGCACCTTGTCCTTGGAGATGCTGATGAGGATGTTGCTGTTCTTGGTGTTCACCAGCATGTGCATCACCGAGGTCTGATGCCCCCTCAGCAGCCACACGGGCTTTTTCGAGTAGAAGGGGCTCCACATGCGGATGTGGGAGTCATAGCCACCAGTCACTGGGGTGAGGAAAAAAATGAACGTCAGCCACTGGGGGCTTATGCTGGATCCTTTTCCTGGGGCCAGGGATCAATTCCAGCCAGGTTTGGCAGGTGGGCGGGCATTGCTACCAACCAACCCTCTGCTCCCCACCTACGCTGAGCACAGCCTGTGCCACCACATTACCCCGCACCCGGGAGTGGGGGCCAGAGTGGCATGAGAGGAGGCCAGACAGAGGCAGAAGGCCTCCCTTGGGTCTGATGGTCCCTGTGCCTCCAGCAGCCCTCACCCCAGTTCTGCCAGGCCAACAGACTCTGCATGACATGAAGATGACTTACCCAGGAAGTTCTTGTCTACGCAGTAATCAAAGCAAATAATTCCTTTTCTTAAATTCAGCACCGAGAACCTGCGACAGCAAAGAACAAAGGCTGTGGGGCTGGGAGAGGCCTCAGGGAGCCTCTGAGCGTGGGGTGTGGAAGAAGTGGAGACAGGGCCGGGGGGAGGCCAGGAGAGGTCACTACCTCTCCACCCAAGGAGAGGAGCAGCCCCAGAAGCCCTGCCCAGAGCACACCCTGCAGCTGAGTCCGGGCCTTGAGTCTCAGCCCCAAACCAGCTGCTCATGGAAGAGGCACCCGCCTCTCACGTGTAGATGAAAGCAGCCCACAGGAGCAACTACTTACAGTTATAACATTTGCCTCACTCCACGGGCAAACTTCATCTTCACCTCAACCACAGTGGGACAGGTGTCTCCCCACCCACAGCACAAATCCAGGGAAGGGTTTCTGGGCCGGGAAAAGGGAAGACAGCTCCTGGGGTCCTGGCCTTGCTCCGTGCTGCTCCCGGGGCTGGGTGCTATCTCATGGGCCCCCTGGGCCCCTCACATAACCCTGAAGAGTGCCATCCGCTCGGTGCCATGGTGAAGACATGGAAAGGAGAAGCTAGGGAGCTTGCCCAAAGTCTAGTAGGGCAGGCGGTCAGAGCTCAGAGCCAGGATGGGCATGGCAGGAGGAGGCAAAAGTCTCGGCTCCAGGAAAGGAAGAGGGGTGGCAGGATGGCTGGGGCTTGCAAGAGCCAGGGTGACCCAGGCAGGATTTGTGGAAAGCTCAGGCCCAGCAGCCCTCGCAGGCCCAGCAGCCCTGAAAACTCAGTGCCTTTGCACATGCTGTTCCCTCTTATCCACGCATCCTGCCCTGCCAGCTTCTTCTTCTTGAACTCTCCCTTCAAAACTCAACTCAAAGGGCCTCCAACCTGCTAATGCAGCATGCCCTCACTGAACTTGCCTTTGAACTGTCTCCTCCACCGCTCCCTGGGGGTCCAAGCCTGTGACCTGAATATCATTCCGAAGGCTCCCTCTCCTGATCCCACCACATCCCACCACAGCCCTGGCCTCTGCTTAGTTCAGACCCCGCTTCATTTCTGTCAGCCTCCCAGGATTTCTCTAAATTTAGGATTTCTCTAAACCTCCAGTCTTACTTCCCTCCAACCTGTTCGGCTCTCCACAGCAAAAGGATGCCTCAAACAATCAAAATGTCAGGAAGAGCAACTGAATCCATGTATGTCATTTATTGTCAAACCATATATATATGTGCAGAGAAATCTTCTAGAAGAATGGTCCCAAAACGTCACTATAAATTACTTCAGGCCGATTCACCCACTCCTTCACCAGAGTTACTGGCTCCTATCCCTTCCAGGATTGCCAGAGGCGTGGAAGTGACGCTCTGGCCTTCCTGGGACTTCCTTCTAGAGGGCAGCAGCATGGGCAAGTACATGAACAAAGGTGGGAGACGGACATTTATAGATCATGGCAAGTCCTGCAGGGAAACAAACAGAGGCTTTGACAGGACAGCAGGAGGAGACCAGGTCTGCAGACGGCTGCTGCGGTGCAGAAAAGGGCCTGGAAGGTTAGGGGGCATGAAGGGAACAAGACCATTGCGAGCAGTTTAGGTGGCAGATAACAATGGCGTCAATGGGGTGGTGGGGGCAGAAGTGAGAGAAGAGGTGGGAAGCAGGGGAGATGCTGTGGGTCAGTCCACAGTCCCTTCCATCCCGACTCTAGCTCCTCCATCTAATTCACTGCTGGCTCCAACCACCTGGAAACTCAGTGCAGGCTGGCTGCTGGGAAGTCAGACCCGTGGACCCACACTGCCTCAGAGGCTGAGGCCCACTGCAGAGTTGGCTTGGCAGTGCCAGGCCCTACTGCGGAGGCCATGCCCTACGAGGCCATCCCCAGCAACTGGAAACCAGCAAGCAGTCAATGGCGCCACCTACCAGAAAATATGTGTTCTGAGACCAACCAAAGGACTTGTGGGCATACATATGGGCCTAGCCAGTGGCCATGGACAACGGGGAAGGGGGGGGGGGGGGGGTTGCGCATATCTAGGGAGGGGTTTGGGATGGGAATGGGGGAATAAGGACAATTATGTGAGACCATAATCAATCAATCAATCAATAAACAAATAAATAAACAAATAAATAAAAATTAAAAAAAGAAAATATGTGTTCTACATTCAGATAGGAAGGAAGGGGGTGTGTGGTGGGCACCAGTGTATAAATATATTCTCCAACCAGCTCTAAAATATATCTCAAACCCCTCCATCTCCACCCAACTGGTCGACTGTAGGCTGCTATCATATGTACGCTGAATTATTGCAATGGCATCCTCACTGGAGGAGGCAGGGAAACCCAGCTGCAGGAATCCTCAGGAGAAAGTACCTACTGCCAAGTGCCAAGTGCTAGGTGAACTCCAAACTCACAGAATCGGGACTTTTGATAATGGAGTGAGTCAATGGGGTTAGGTAAGGGGAGGAGGGCTTCAGGATTCCAGTTTTATTTATCACGGTTTAACTTTTTACAAGGACAACGTATATACAAACATTTCTGTGGAAAAACAGCTGATTTTAAAGAAGGAAAGGGAAGGGAGAAATGGGAGGGGGTGTGAATTCACTCGGAGATAGAATAATTTAGAATGAAAGAAATAGACTAGGACTGTCTCCAAAAAAAATAAGTTCAGCCAGTCACTGAACACATGCCACAAACCATGTTCATCAGAATAATCCTTGAGGTAAGTGAAGTGCAGTTTCCACCCTTTTACAGAGGAGGAAACTGAGGCTCACAGGAAAGCAATTCGCATTCATTCCTTTGGTCAGAAAATGCTTTTTCTGAATGTCTGCTGACACTACATGCTGACTCCTGTGCTGAGTTCTGTATATAAATTGTTGGTAAAAGAAGCCCTATTTTAATTTTGCTACTGGTGGCATGCCAGAATGATTATTAAAATCATACCCCACACCTGGCCGGTGTAGCTCAGTGGTTGAGCACTGACCTATGAACCAGGAAGTCACAATTTGATTCCTGGTCAGGGCATATGCTCGGGTTGTGGGCTCCATCCTCAGTGTGGGATGTGCAGGAGGCAGCCAATCAATGATTCTTTCTCATCATTGATGTTTCTCTCTTTCCCTCTCCCTTCTTCTCTGAAATCAATAAAAAATATATTTTAAAAAATACACACTCCATAAAAGTTCTCACAAGGGAAAAAGTGTAACTGTGTGTGGTGACAGATGTTACTTAGACTTATTGTGGCGATGATTTTGCAATCTATACTAATAAAAGGGTAATATGCTAATTAGACCGGGAGATCTTTCGGACTTCTAGACAAAGCCATGGTGGCAGGGCTGAGGCAGAGGCAGTTAAGGGTGATCAGGCCAGGAGGGGAGGGCAGTTGAGGGTGATCAGGCCAGGAGGGGAGGGCAGTTGAGGGTGATCAGGCCAGGAGGGGAGGGCAGTTGAGGGTGATCAGGCCAGTGGGATAAGGGGCAGTTGGGGGCAAGCAGGCCATGGGGGGAGGCAGTTGGGGGTTAACAGGATGGCAGTAAGGGGCAGCTGGGGGCAATCAAGCCAGCAGGGGGGCGGGCAGTTGGGGGCGAACAGGCTGGCGGGGGAGGGCAGTTGGGGGCAAGAAGGCCAGCAGGCAGAGTGGTTAGGGGCAATCAGGCAGGCAGGCAGGTGAGTAGTTAGGAGCCAGCAGTCCTGGATTGCAAGACCACGGTCAGACATCCCCCAAGGGATCCCAGATTGGAGAGGATGCAGGCCGGGCTGAGGGACAACCTCCCATCCCATGCACGAATTTTGTGCCCTGGGCCACTAGTGTGTGTGTGTGTGTGTGTGTGTGTGTGTGTGTGTGTGTATCAAACCATTATGTTGTATACCTGAAATATAATGTTATATCACTTATGTCTCAATTAAAAAAAAAAAAACTCAGACTCCGGAGCCCATGTTGTAACAACCTGCTGTTGGCCTATGGAACAGGCAGTGCTTCCTTGGACCCAGTGTGGTTTGTAGAGAATGAGCTGCCCACAAGCAATGCCACTGTCTCAGAGGTGGGCCCACCCTCAGTAGGGATGGCCCCTTTTGAATGAAGTGAAACCAGACCCCTCCCCACTTCCCTTCCAGCCCCACCACCTTAGCCTAGAGAAAAGTGCTTTTCTTACCTGGTGGTCTCGGAGGCTTTGGAAGGCAATATTGACAGCACCAGAGAGGACTTTGTGATAACTGAGCAGGAGGCCACCAGGTTCATCTCGGGGATGAACCTGACCTTTTGGCACCAGTTGCGATGGAGAGCCTGGGAAGAGAGCGGCAGTGATGGAGTCCCACCCGAGGACAGCCTTTCAGCCCAGCCTCTAGGATGTGGCAGGTATTGGGGACCGGAGGGGCCCGGGGATCGCTGAGTCCAGTGGCTTCTAATGATCACAGCTCTGATGAAGGGATATGGCCCCCGCCCTAGCCCAGACCCCATGACAGGAGGGTGTGGCCATTGCTCGTCAGTGAAAAGGCTGCTGTCCTGTGAACACCCTCCTATCATATAGAGGTCAGGCAAGTCAGGCCAAAACTAAGATTGTTTGTCGCCCCGGCCCAAGACAGGAGAAAGGATGGATTTGAGTCTGTGAGTTCTTTCATCTGCAGGAGCCCCAGCACAGATTAACCTCTGCTTCTTGGCCCCTCCACTGCCCTCCGTCTTTGTCAGGTCGTGGCGTGGAATAGTGAGACGTTATCTGATGCACTTGGGCAACAAAGGCCACGACCCACAGATCACGAGGGTGTTCTGGCTGCACAGCCTTAAATACTCCAGCTCCAGCCCTGAGGTCTGACCCAGAGCTTGGCCTCCCCGTCCAGCCATCTTCCTTCCCGGGACAGGAATGGAGGAAGCAGGTTGGACGGTTGTCAGGCCCTGAGTAGGTTTTGCAGGCCTATCTCACTGAGTATCACAGTGGGGCACCAAATCCAAGGCCCTACACAGAACCTGGGTCACTTAGCAACTTGGAGGGAAACCAAGCCCAAAACGAGAATCCCACAGGAGACGGAGGACTAGCCTGGGACTCTTTCTGAGGGGCTCCCAGGACCTGCTCGATCCAACCTGCTCCAAAGGAAGCATGGAGGAGCCTGGACCACCCAACGCAGACTTTCCTGAGTGTTGGATTTATTCACTCGTTTGTTTAACAAATGTGCTAGGAGACCACAAGTCACTGGAGACAAAACAGAGAACCAGCTGTTAGGTGCCTTCCTCCAGGAGCTGCACTGCCAGGGGAGAGGCAGGACAATACCAAGGTGAGAGGAGGCAGCTGTGATGCTGTGATTCTTAATGAGAAATATAAATTCTGGGTTTCCCCCCTGATTCTGGCACAGAGTTCCTGAAACCCTGGGAATTTCCTAAATAATAAAAGTTATAAAAGGTGTTTTGTAGTCATAGTAAGCCCCTTTCAACCACACCCCAGTCTATGTTAAGGAGGTGACTTTTGGAAAGCACCTAAGGATGGAGGTGGTTACCAGGGAAACCAGCCATGTGACTGGATAGTTGGAACCTTGAGTTCCAGGGAGAGGAGAGAATGGAGGCTGAATTCAATCACCCATAACCAATGACTGCAGCAGCCAGGCCTCTGTAACGAAGCCTTCATAAAGCGTTCAGAGAGCTTCCGGGTTGGTGAACACGGAGATTTTAGGAGAGTGGTGCTCTCAGAGAGGCTGTGGTGCTCCAAGTGCCTTCCCACATACCTCGCTCTACAAATCTCTTCCTGCTGACTGCTCCCGAATTACAGCTTTTTAAAATATAATCCGTGATCTAATAAATTTAATGCTTCTGTGAGTTCTGTGAGCAGCTCCAGAAAATTAATCAAACCCAAGGAGGGAGGGGATCATGGGAACCTACTTTCTTTTTCTGATTTATTTTTTTTTTATTAAATCATTATCTGTGTACATATACCATTGCCCCCCCATACATGCCCTCCCTCCCCAGAGGTTTGTGTCCGTTGGTTGTACTTATATGCATGTATACAAGTCCTTCGGTTGATCTCTTATCTCCCCCAGATCTCCCTCCCCTCCCCGCTGTAATTTGACAGTCTGCTTGTTGCTTTATTGTCTCTATATCTATCTTTTAGTTCATTGGTCTATAATGTTCTTTATTATCCATAAATGAGTGAGGTCATGTGGTGTTTCTCTTGGGAACCTACTTTCTGTAGCCAGCAAGTCAGAAGCACAGATAACACCCTGGACTTGTGACTGGCATCTGAAAAATGGAGGGCAGCTTTGTGGGGCGCATCTTCACCTGCAGGAACTGTGTTGAGCTCTAGGACAGCCAGTTAGAGAACTGCATGGTGGTGTGGGAAACACACACACACACACACACACACACACTAGTTGGTGTCAGGATTCTGCAAGGTGGAGGAATAAAGGCAGAGGCAGGCAGCAAGGCTGGTAGGTTGGGGAATTGAAGGAAATAGAGAGGCGGCGTACAGGTCCCTAGAGAAGAGCATGCCGTCTGAAGGAACAGCAGGTGTCAAGGCCCTGAAGTAGGAAAGGGCTTGGTGTGTTTCAGAGAGAAGCTACTGGGGATTTTGAGCGAAGTGGTGACATGACTGCATTTCCATCTCATAATTCCACTGGCTGCTGGAGAAAGCACTGAGTGAAGAGAGGACACGGGGAAGAGCTAGTAGCCACTGCAGCCATCCAGGAGAGAGGCTGTGTCTGCGGGAACCAGGGTTGAGCAAGGAAGGCGCTGAGAGAGATGGCCATGCCTGAGACACAGGAAAAGCTAGTAGGATTCAGCTCCACCCATTTCTAGAGACTAAGCCCCACAGTCCATGACTGAACCCGGAGGCCAAATGCACTCTCTGCATTTATTTTTTTAATGCATTTTTAAATCTTCACCTGAGGATATTTTTCCCATTGATTTTTTTTTTTTTAAGAGAGTGGAGGGAAGAGTGAAGGGGAAAGAGAAACACTGATGCAAAAGAGACACATTGATTGATTGCCTCCCTCTCACACCCTGACCGGGGCCTGGGAATGAGCCTGCAACCGAGGTACATGCCCTTGACCAAGAATCGAACCCATGACCCTTCTGTCCGTGGGCCGACACTCTCACCACTGAGCAAACTGGCCAGGGCTCTGTGCATTTATTTTTGATAGATGTGTGTACAAATAATTACCATGGTAACAGGCTGAGGAAAGCTACAACTTACCTTCAGTCGGTAACTTTTATAAAAAGGGGACTTCTCATTTAACAGCTTCTTTGTGGAAATACTGGTCCAGTGATCTGTTAGGAGAGAAAACCGCGGTCCATGTCACCAGTTCTTCCCCTTTGCCAGACAAGCAAAACCTCAGAAGACACCGGAGTCTGTTTGCAGTTCTATGCATCTCAAAAGCCTTTTCCATCCAAATGCTCGTTCAAACCTCGCTGTGTCCTGATGAGTTCATGGGGTGAACTCCACACCCAGAAAACAGAGCCAGCAGGTTAACACTGCCTCCCAGAGTCCCCCACCAGCTCACGGCAGAGCTAGAAGCAGGTTTCCGGGTTCCATGCTCTCCCCAGCAGCTACAATCTAAACAAGGTGATTCTGTGAGTTTGCGGACGGGAAAATGAATTGCGGTCCTAGGTCCTTCACTCTGAAGACAGTTCTTAGGGGGTTTCCCATCATGCTTCCAACTGCAGGCGCCACTTTGCCCAGCAAGCACGAGCATTGTAAAGTGAGCACATCATTGGCAACCGCACGAGGTGCAGCCTGCCCTCGGAGATCTTAGGTCTCCTGGCTCTGGACACCTCCGGTGAAGGCTGCTGGGGAGCCTCTGGGGAAGCACTCGCTGGCCCCTGGCACCAGCTGCACAGCTGGACACAGACGGGCGGAGGCAGCAGTGACAGGGGACAAAGCAGGGTTAAGGAAGTAGGTCATAAGGGCCAGAACAGTCCGGGCTCAAGTGTTAGAGAAGCTTGCAGATGGAATGGAGAAAAGAGGGATCCAGGGCCTTATGACAAGCATTTTCTGCTTCCAGGTCACCAGCCCCATCTCGCAAGGGCCGGAAGAGGCTTGAAAAGGAAATCCCAAGGGATGGAGTGTTGCCCACTAAAATGGGGCAGGCCTGCCGAAACCGGTTTGGCTCAGTGGATAGAGCGTCAGCCTGTGGACTGAAAGGTCCCAGGTTCGATTCAGGTCAAGGGCATGTACCTTGGTTGTGGGCACACCCCCAGTAGGGGGAGTGCAGAAGGCAGCTGATCGATGATTCTCTCTCATAGATGTTTCTAACTCTCTATCCCTCTCTCTTCCTCTCTGTAAAAAATCAATAAAAAATATAAATAAAATAAAATAAAATAAAATGGGACAGGCCCTGCATGCATGTGGGAGGAAGGAAGCTTAGTTCTGCCTGGGCTGTGCAGTGAACACAGCCTGCCTGTGGCTGCACTAGGCTCCCTCGGCTGGGAGAACCCCAGAGAACAGGGGAGACAGTCATTGGATGCTTGCCATATGCCTCACACTATGTACTCTCTTTCCATCTCACAGCAAAGCTATAGACTGAGTGGATAAGGGAACTGAGGCACAAAGAGGTTAGGCAATGGGATCAAGGTCACACAGGGCTAGTCTGTCCGACTCCTCCCAAGTCAACATGCTGCTGAGCCTACCTTCGTGTTTGTCCCCAGCCTTCAATCAGCATGTGGCATGGAAGGATGCCCGTCCAACACTCCAGCTTCATCTGCTCCCATCCACCACCTAATTTCCCATTCATCACCTGAGCTCAAAGACTACCATGCCCCACCCATGCCAATTCCCAGGGTGGCAAACAGTGACCAGAGCAGAGGCTGATGAGGCAAGAACATAGCAGGGTGCCAGCCCACAGCTGCATCCAGAGCAGGATGCATTTTCTGTCCAACCAGGAGGGGCACTGCCCCAACAAGCTTGGCAGGAGGTGTCATTGAGAGCCCAGGAGGATGTCCTGTTCAGAAACTCTGACCGGAAGCCCAAGGGGCCACTCTGGTGGTCTGGATGGAGCTACCTAGAAGACTGACACTGTGAATTGAGGTTTGATCCAGCTCAGATGAGCCCCCAAATGCCCCGGGCCCAGGGCCTCAGGATCTAGTGCCCCTTGGCAGAGCATCCCAAATAGCATCCTTCAATATCTGGTGAGTCTGGTATGCAGCTTAGCAAGTGGTTCAAGTGCAGACTCCAGAGCAGACCGCCTGCTCCGATCTCAGCCACCACTTAGCCCTGTGGGGCCTGTGCAAGAGCTCCACCCTGTAAACCTCTGCTCCTCCTCAAGGGCTGTGGCAACAGCAGCTCCCTCCGGGTAGTGGGTGGGGAATTATAGGAGGTGATGTGCTGCTCCACCCACCCCTAACCACCCAAAGGCAGCTCACAGCCACTGAGAGCAGAACCCTCCTCACAATGATGGGGGAAGTTAGCACCATCAGCCCAGGGCCCAGAGCAGGTGAGTGACTTTTCCAAGGTCACACAGCTGGCATGGGTTCATTCTTCCTGGGATGAGGAGGGTCCTGAAGCCCTTACCTGTACAGAATGATTGCCTATCTCCTCAGCCCCTTCCTATCTCCTGCTGTCACCCCATCTCCTTGGTTCCCACAGGCTGCTCTGAGCTGAGCATGTAGTGCCCTGTCGCCTGAGCTTCTGAAGGAGCCAGGGGCCTTTGAGCAGGGAGGTGGGGAGAGGGAAGAGCACCCCAGGGCAGAGCCATTCCCCCAATGTGTCAGCTACCCCACTTGGAGGTCCTGGGGAGGATTCGGGGGTTGAACAGCCCATTGGCCACATTGTCGGAGGTGAAGACGATGACGTTGCCTTTGGTGTCTCCGAAGCAGAACACACCTCTGTGATAGTCAGACCTGGGAAAGATGGAGACAGAGAAGCCATGGAACCAGCTGGGCGCACCCAGCGCAGTCCTCCCCCATTCCCTGTGCTCCATGCCTATGTCCATCCAGGGACTGAGGGCAGTTCTTGCTCTCAACAGCTGATGAACATGGGCCCAGCTACCTAGAACCAGAACATCGATGAACCAGATCCAAAAGAAATCAGCATTTTTTAAAAACAAAAATAAATGAGTCCCTCGTCCTCCAGCTGCTCTTTGTCAAGTCGCCCCTAGCAGGAGATGTGATGCTTCCCGAGTCCTCACCTGCAGTGGGACAAGCCCCTGACTTGGTGGGAGAGGGAGAGGGAGAGAGCTGACGATGACGCTGTGGTCTGAGTGACGCTGGGAGAGAAGCAGCTCGGGGGAAAGAGGACACAGGCACACAGGATAGGAATCCCTCCAGGACTGTTTCCAGCAAGGCTTTCTGTGGGTTCCAATCCCACTGAGTGATGTGGCTGCTGCCAAAACCCTGCACCAATCTCCCGGGAGACTCACCAGTAGTCCATAACTAGAGGGCAGCCTTCCAGATCGGTGAAGGTGAAGGCCCGGGAACAGTTACGATTTGTAATATCAAAGAACTCTGGGGAAAGATAGAGAGGCATGCATAGAACCCGAAGCCACATCCCGAGGACTTGAATCCGTGCCCAAAGTTGGCTCAGTGACAGATCTCCCCAAGTGCAGGTGCATGACTCCCAATGGCCAAGCGCAGGCGGGGCAGCCACCAGGGACTCACCTATCTTCTGGTCAGTGGATGCAATCGCAACTAGGTTCATGTTGTGGAGACACACCATGTCCATGACCCACAGCTGCTGGTTGTGGAGCGGCTGTATCTGGTTAAGCTGGCCAGAGGAAGAGCAGAGACCTGGGCTGGGGATGCTGCCCCTGGAGAACCCACCCTGACAGCCAAGGCCCTGGGACCAGGCAGAGACCAGGTCATGGAGCCCAGTGTGACCAGCAACTACAAACAATGGCGCTTTAGAAAGATGCCCTATCCTCGCTGAGTCTCAGTTTCCATGTCTATAAAATGGGCTTTAAAAAAAAACTGGTATCTTTACAAACCCTTTTTAGAGCATTTGACAAGCTCATCAAAGTTTTAAATGTGTAGTTTGTGATCCTGGGATCCATTTCCAGGACACAGCTGTGGACATGTTCACATGTATTCACTGAGATTTATATGCAAGGGACACCACCCAGACGTTAGCTGTGAGGGCGTTGTGTACCTACCAATAAAGAGTAGTTGCCAAGATATATTTCTAAGTGAAAAAACAAAGTGAAAAGCACCTTTATAATGGTCTACCATTTGCATATTTAAAAAAAAAAGGGGGGGGGTGGTACAGGCTATCTAACCATGGAAAAGCACTCAAAACTAGTCACAGCAGTTGCCTCCCAGGAGGAGAATCGGGGTCTGGGGGAGGAAGACCGACTTTCCACTATCTTTCCCTCTGGTTGCCTGATTCTTCCTTCCCCCCACCTCCCACCCCAGTTTTATTGAGATATAATTGACACATAAAAGTGTATTCATTTTGTTTTGTCTGAACCTTATTTACCACCTAGGGAGTCTCAGTGGCCTGCCCCACATCTGTGGGTGTGCAGCTGCTGGTTACGGATGGTGACTCACTCTTGACCACATCCACTTGAAAAACTAGTCACAGTAGCCCCTCAGGGAAGAATGAATGCCCAGCTCTGTTGAACCTTCTGGAGGAGCCTCCCTCTGTCCTCCTTGGCCTCCTCCCCCGACCCAAGGCTTTGGTCCTGGAAGGACACTAAGGTGACCATGTAGCAGCCACAACCAGGAGCTCAGGCTATGCTGTGCCCCTCTCCCAAAAAACACCCAGAGAAAACATGTGTGGAGTGTGCCCGAAACTCCAGCCTCAGGAACACAGTACAACCCCCCCTTGGTCCTGGGCTTTGAGCACCCAGGGGAGTCACTGGACAACCCCTGACGTTAGTTCATAGGCAACTGGGAGGCAGTGGGGGAGACCACCCAGAGCCCTCCTGCCCAAGGCATAACCCCTGATGCAACTGGGAACACTGCAGTTACACAGAGCTGGCAGCACTCATAAGGCTTTATTCTCCAGAGGGCTGTGCCTTCCTCATTGGCTAGACTGGCCTGGCAACACACACACACACACACACACACACACACACACACACAGCGGGTTTGCCTAGTGTTTTGTCACTCCCTGCACTTGGCCAGAAACTGATGGCACAAAGACCATGGCGAGGTCAGCTTTTGTTCATCAGGCACTTGCTGTGTGGCTTGCCCTGCTCCACGCACCATGCGTGTATCATGTCATTAAATCTTCTCCCTGCACATGAGAGATTACTACTCCATTGACAGGTGAGGAAAAAGAGGCACGGAGAGCTCTACAGGAACTGGTCCGAGGTCACAGAGCTGGGAGGTGGGGCACTGGGGTTCTACGCCAGGTAGTCAGGCTCCAGTGGCCAGGCTCACCACCACGGTGATTTCCTGCCTGGGCCAGGAAAAGGATCGAATCTGCAGGATTTGGTGATGGAGTGGGTGTAACAAAGAAAGGAAAGGGGGCTGTTCTCCAACACAGAAACCTCTCCCTGGGGTGGGGGCACAGGAGAAGCCAGGTGGGCAGGGAGGGCCTCAGTGACATTTAGTTTAGACAAGCTGAGTTGAGGTGTCTGTTGGACATCACGTAGAATGGACATCAGGTGGAATCTCGCTTACAGAGGAGGACTATGAGGCTCATGGTCCCGCGATGAAGCCAGAACTTGGAGCCAGGATGTGAGTGCAAGTGCGGACTGCCTAGTCCTCAAACCCTGAGAGGGAACCACCCTGAGCCAGAGAGGGAAGGCAGAGGCTCTCTGACCACCCCATCTGTGCTCCACACGTGGGCCCCACTCACCTCAAAGGAGCTGATCAGAGAGAAGGACTCCGACCAGAACTGCAGGCTCCCCTCCTTAGTGACAGTCAGAAAATGCCCAGTCTTCTTGAACCGCTGTATTAAGAACACCACTTTCACAACCTCACACCCATGATTCCTGTAGGAGGTAATGAGAGAGGGAAGAGCCCAACCAAACACAGAACAGACTCCAAGGAGGAAGGGAAAGCAAGCAGGAGGGCTTCGCTCACATGCATGCATGCACGCACGCACGCACTCACGTACGCACCAGGCCCACCACTGAGAAACTCCTGCAGGCTCCATGAGACGTAGGCCCCTGCCCCTCCACACAGATTGCCTCCATTATCAACAGCGATCAAAAGGAAGACGCCCTCGTATGATGCTGGTATGAGACGGGCTCCCAAAGCAGGAAGCCTGTCCTGTGAAAGAGCCAGTCAGCCTCCCTCATGGAGGGGGAGATGAGACAGGGAGCAGCGGCTTTTGCAGACCTTTTATTGGGAAAATGGCCCACAGAAGGTGAATCGAGTAGGACTTGACTGGAAACTTTATTCCAGCAGCTGCTCTAGTGCTCCAGGATGGAGACGGGGAACGTGGGCAAGGTGCTAGGAGGCATCAGGGCCCCTTTGCACAGCTCTTCCTTTCCAAGGACCTGCCCTGAGCCCAGAAAACAGTTTCTGGGCAGGCCAGGTCTCACTCAGCCTCCCCAGCAAGCCTCAATGCTGCCTCCCAACGGTTTCTTTCCTGCCGCAAAGCTGGCTAAGCCACAGATCTGACAATTAAAGGGCACTAACATTTTGACTTTCTGACACAGCACGCATTCTCCCATTCGATGTGCCCTCACTTCTGGGCCCAGCAGGGCAGGTGATGTTATCTCACCTGGTGCTTGGGATTATGTCCTGGTTACCAACAGAGCTGGGACCTTCACTCCGACTTCAGCCACAGCCCTTTCCAAATGATGTGGCTCATGGCCTAAAAATACCCAGTCACCGTGAAATTCTACTGTGTTACTACCTCTGCGGAAGGGAGGAAGGCTGTCCTCTCCCTCCTGCCATCAGTCCATAGCTCTGTCCAGATCCTCATGAATATTCTCTGTCCATAGCTCTGTCCAGATCCTCTGACAGTTAGGTATTGCATTTGGTTTAAATTCTTGTGACACACTGAATTTAATTCTTGTGACATGTCTGTCAGGCCCCAGAGTGTGAGGAACAGGCACAACAGTGAGGAGCACCCTGGGAAGTGTCACCCCATCATGGAGTCTTGGTCTCCCCACCTCCACAAAGGCAGCACCTCCACCTCCTGGGACTGCAGTGGGGACAAGCTGGTGCATTCGGTGAAGTGGGCCCAGGCTCCCCTTTCATGAAGGTAAGTGAACGTTATTTGGCTATTTTCTCCCACAACCTGGAAATGTCCTCCGGGATTGTGGGTTAAGCCTATAAACAGGAGAACACAGGGGCAAGCTTCTTGGCATTTTGGGTCCAGGCCTTTTAAGCACCCTCCGGAATTCAAATGTCCAAGGAAACAGACTGGTGAAGGCTTGGCTACATCAAGCGAAGTTTCCAGGTCAAAATTTAAGATTATAAAATCTTTCATCATTCATGTACAAGTGCTATTCCTCAGTTAAATCTTGACCAAAATTTGTTTAATGTGCCCTTTTATGCTTTTTATTTAAACCATCTTCTCTATTAAACTCCAGGTTGCTGAGGGCAGGGGTTGCCTTCTAGTTTGTGGTGCTCCCCACGGCCTGCCCTGGGGATAGTCGCCTGAGAACAGACCCACCATGGCCCTCGTGGCCAGGCCACACATGCATGTGTCACAGGGCCTGGCTCCTGGCCCCGCCACCTGCACCAGGCGGCTGCTGCTCCCACACAAGGGGCAGGGAAGGGAGCCAGCGGCCCAGCACTCCACACTCTTAGGGTGTTTTGAAGGGCAGGGCTAACAGGCCACAGCACAGAGAGAGGATGAGAAGGGCAAGGGAGCACAGCAGGGGAGGAGCCGCAGGAGCATCCATCAGAAAGGGTCAGGCTGAATCGAGGCAGGGACAGCTGCATGCTCCAGGAGCGATAGAGGGGCCGCCCTCCCCCGCCCCCAGGCCTGGGCAGGCAGAAGGGGCAGTTTCCTGCTGTGCCTCGTAATCCCTGTCCCCACTGTGTGAGGCATCTGTGTCCTGTGGATGAAACTGCCAGGTGTATTCAGCCCCGGCCCCAGGAGGGAAGCAGGAGGAGCCGTGTTGGAGAAGCTAAAGGCTGAGAGGGGCAAACAGAACCACCCACTACTTCCATTTGACCTCTCTGAACCTCAATTTCCTCATCTGTAAAATGGGGGCAAATCACTTACCTAATGCTCATGCCCACCTACCCAGTTGTAAGGCTGATAGGAGCTAAAGGACATCAAGCACCAGGCCGGGTGCCAGCCCCTTGGTGGCCCCACCAAGGCGGCTCAGGGACTTAGGAAGAGCACTCGCTGTGTGGCCAGCAGGGCCTTGTGCAGACCCACCCCTTCGGCCCAGGGAGAGGCTCCTTACAGGGGGATGACCTTCATGGGCAATTGAAAACGCAGGTGGTACTGGCTCTTCCTCATCAACTCCTTTCTCCGGAACTCGTGCATCATGTAATCCACACAGTTCGACTGCCTCGAGAAGAAAGGCGAGGCAGGGAGGGTGTCAGCCCAACGGTCTGAGCGCTGGGCTTTGGGAACCCAAGCTCAGCTTCCAGTATCCGCCCCCAACTCTCCCAGCCCCTTCCAAGACGCTCCGGGAGCCCCCCACCCCCACCCAGGCTGGCAAAGGGAAGCAGCCTAGAAGCAGTGCTGTTATTGCATCTGAATTGGGTGAAGGGCTTATTGGCAAGTATTTGTGAAGACAGCAAAGCAAAGCAGCACCTCCCTCCTTAAGGCTTTTTCTTAAGGCCTGATCACCAAGTTTCAACGTTTCCATGTCATGGCACACATAAACTATTTACTAAAATTTCGCAGCACACTAAATATATATATATATATATATATATATATATATATATATATATGTATGTATGTTGTTGTTTTTTCCAATCTGACAAGAAAAATAGGTATAATTTTGATTCATTCACACCGGATGGCTATTGTTGTGTTGGCTGTTGTTTGTTGTTTTTTTACAACCCAAGCGGAAAAAAGGCAGTGCCCCTGACTAACAGTCAGGTATTGCATCTGGTTTAAATTCTTGTGACACACTGGTTGAAATCACTGTGCTATATACATCTTCATGTCACTTCCACACCTGGGATCCCATCTGAGTGCTTATTCACCCTACTTTACGGACAATAAGACTGCGACCAGATAAGTACAGATGAGTTGCCCCAGATCATCTATCACATTAACACAAAGGAGGGCCCACAAGCCAGGCCACTAGGACAACTCTAGACTCTACTGTTCAGCCTCATGAAATATGGCCAAGTCCAAAACGGGCCCCAGCTGAATCTATGACAAGAAATAGGGAGTTATTAAAAAATATCATTGTAATATTTGACAAAGGAGGCAAGAGCATACAATGGAGTGAAGACAGTCTCTCCAATAAATGGTGTTGAGGAAATTGGACAAATTCATGCAAAAAAAAATGAAACTAGACCACCAACTTACACCATACACAAAAATAAACTCAAAATGGATAAAGGACTTAAACATAAGATAGGAAACAGCCTAAGTGCCCATTAGCAGATGAGTGAATTAAAAAAACTGTGGTACATCTACACAATAGAATATTACACTACTGTGAAAAGGAAGGAAGTCTTACCATTTGCAACAGCATGGATGGAACTGGAGAGCATTATGCTAAGCAAAATAAGCCAGTCAGAGAAAGATAAATATCACATGATCTCACTCATTTGTGGAATATAAAGAACATCATAAACTGATGAACAAAAATAGATACAGAGACAAAGAAGCATCAAACAGACTGTCAAAACTACAGTGGGAAAGCAGGGGAGGGGGAGGGTAGGGACTAAGAGATCAAACGAAGGACTTGTATGCATGCATATAAGCATAAGCAATGGACACAGACACTGGGGGGGAAGAAGGAGTGGGATGAAGGCATGTGCCTGGGGGTAGGGGAGCCTGGGAGGAGGTTTATGGGGGGGGGGAGACATATGTACTACTATTTGTAATACTTTAAACAATTAAAAAAAGGAAATATTGTGTCAATAGCAGAGAATGCTGGAAACATATTCATTGCAGAACTAGAGGCCTGGTACATGAAATTCGTGCAAGGAGAGGTCCCTTCAGTCCAGCTTGCACCCTCTCCAATCTGGGACCCCTTGGGGGATGTCTGACTGCCAGCAGTTGGACATCCCTCTCACAATCCTGGACTGCTGGCTCCTAACTGCTCACCTGCCTGCTTGCCTGGTTGCCCCTAACTGCACTCCCCCCCCCCCCCGCCCCGTTGACCTCATCATCCCTCACTGCCTCTGCGTACTGACCTGATGGCCTTTAACTGCCCCCCTTGCCGGCCTGATTGTCCCTAACTGTCCCTCCCTGCTGGCCAGGTCACCCTCAAATGCCCCCTACCTGTCATCCTGGCCGCTCCTAACTGCGCCCCCCCTGCCGACCTGGTCACTCCCAACTGTACTCCCCCTCCCCCCGCCAGCCTGGCTGCCCCTAAATACCCCCCACTGGCCTGGTCGCCTCTTATTGCCACCCCCTGCCAGCCTGGTTGCCCCACACAGCCTGTTTGTTCAGTCATTTGGTCTTCCCTCACGAACCCCCCTGCTGACCTGGTCTTAGGCAGCCATCTTGTGAGGGTGTGAGGGTTAATTTGCTTATTACCTCTTTATTATATAGGATATTAAGGAAAATGAAAGCCAAAAGAAAAGAAAAAAAGAGACCCAAAATGTACCCTTAAGCCAAGGGAGGTCGGGTTATGATGGAGCAGTTAAAGGATGGACTCTTAAGACAAACTCCCTCAGCCTGAGACAGGCTCACCTGCTAACTAGCTCTATAACCCTGGGCAAGATTCTTAACTTCTCTGGCCTCAGTTTCCCAGCCTGTCAAATGGAGGTCAACAATAGCACCTACTCCTGTGAGGTTTAAGGAAAACAATGCATAAAGAGCTTAGCACAATGCCTGGTATAAATGCTAGTTAGCATTGTCATCATCATGACATCAATGACAGACTTTTTTTCTTTTTTGTATTTTTCTGTATTCTTAATGCTGTACAGTATTTGCTCATTGTAGAAGAGATAGAATCAGAGTAATAAGATGCTCTAAAACCCTGACATTTCTGGATTTAACAGCCACAGGTTTGCCTGCGTCTGAGTGAGCGTAAAGGGCCATGAGATGGTTGTGGCACTGGCTGAAATGCCCTGAGCTGAAAGCAGGGCTGGTGAGCTGCTCATTGCTGTGCACGCGGTTCATCTCAGGCAGAGACCATCCTGAATCCCAGGAGGGAAATGAGCTGTGATAAGCCCCCAAAAGTCTCAGGAGGGCCCCCTGGAGGACTCTGAGGGTTCCCTCCATCCAGCACGTATCCCAGAATCCATAGGAGGCTTTCTAATCTTGTGACTGCCCCCATCGTCAACCCTCCATGTGCTTCACTGACCCGCCAAGCCCTGTGCCTCCCTCCAACTACCAAGGCAGCCGGGCTGCCCTCCTCACCCAAGTGATGAAGCCAGTGCCGTCTACGTCCATCTTGAAAAACAGCGCCTCTATCACATCATCTGACATGCTGCTCAGATTATCCTTCATGGCTTTCATGAAGGTCATCTTGTCCAGGACTTCAAAAGAGAGAGGAAAGAATATTGTCTACTTTATCACAGCCCACACTGACCACAGCGTTTTTGGGTGTCTGGGTGCTGAAAGGGTGACACAGAGAGGATCACATTTGCCAGGTTATCTGTTGCATCACCTGTTCAACATACAACCACCCTACAAATACTGGCTGCACACCTTCCACGCAATATCGCTATGTTGGCCCCACTGCTGGGGGTACGAGGGTGTACTAAAAAAGATCAGATATCATTATTCAACAAATAAGACTGACCAGGCGGTGAGACAAAGAAAACTGATTTTTTTTTTAATTGCAACAATGAGACATAAATTTAAAAATATAGAGGGGGAGGTGAAGTGCATCTTTTAAAGGCAAATTATAATATAAACTGGAGGGAAAGATGGGGAGAGGTGAGGAGGAGAGAGAAGGGATGAAATCTCTCCTGTGGTTCTAAGGTTCTCTGTCTACAAGTCGATAACCTCTGTCTAGATTTTTTAAAAACAAGCATAGTATTTATAATGTGCTTCTAAAACCCTCTCCAGCCCTGGCCGGTGTGACTCAGCTGGTGGGAGCATATACCTGGGTTGTGGGTTAGATCCTGGATGGGGACATGTACAGAAGACAACCAATCAACATTCTCTCAGATCAATGTCTCTCTCTCTCTCTCTCTCTCTCTCTCTCTCTCTCTCTCAAGCCAATATGCATAATCTCCCCCCTCCCTTTTTCCCTCTCTCTAAAATCAATATGCATAATCTCAGATGAAGAATTTTTTTTAATAAATAACAAATAAAAGCCCTCCAAGTATTTGGAGCCCTTGCCATGTTCTGAAAGCCATCTATCATCCTGGTCCTCTCATCCTCACCTCCCACCGGAGTCCCGTGCATTCTCTGGTCTGGCCATGAAGTCCCCACACTATTTCTAAAACCACTGAGCACACTCCCACTTGAGGGCCTTTGCACTGTCTGGTTCCCCCACCCAGGGAAGCCTTCCTGAGACTAAGGAGGCCCCCAACCCCCACACCCGACTCTACTGTCCTCCTGGCATTCCTCACCACTCCAGCCAGTGAGCTCCAGCCCTCCATGACTGGTTCCCCCCAGGGTTTCTGCCAGCACGAGGATGTGATGGCAATGACACTGGGTGCCAGTCTCATCTGTGTTTACGCCTCCTGACCACCTAATGAGAGGGGCTCGTGAGGAGACTGCAGCACAGAGACGTGAGGTCCCGTGCCCAGAGGCACACAGCTGCGAAGGCCTGGAGCCCGAGACTGAGCCCAGCAATCTGGCTCCTCGGGTCTTGTTTCACCCCACCCTATGCTCCTCGGCAATCATGCTACAGCCATGATTGTGACTGTGTATTGCTGCATTGAGGAACAAAGGAAAGCCTGAACAAAACGTGCCCTGCCTAAGGAAGGATCCGCTATATTTATCTGAAGCTGGAGCCCCGAGGCTCACGCGTTTTGAGCGGCACTTCCCAGTCCTCCCGTGGACAACACGGACCTCAGGTGACGGTCGGCGGGCAGCAGCCTCCCCCTGCGGATGGAGCTGGCGTCGGCGCGCCTGTGCGCCGGGCTTAATGAAAACGCTGCTCCTGACAGCGCCCCGGGGATCCGTCTTTTCAGTGTTTCGGAAACCATAGACACTGTTCACGGCCATGTTATTCTAATGTACTTCTCCTCATAAACAGTCTACCAAATCTTTGAGAAAACAAGGGAGTAGACACAGAGGTATTCTAGGAAGGAAATGCACACTGTAGGGGCAAGTAGGACCCGGGCTCACCACCTCTGAGAGGAAGCACTCGCCAACTTGTCCCAAATGGTTAATTAAAAGCTCTCAAAGCTTAAATGTAACAATATCACTTCCCTGGGGAGAGGGGGCACTACTAAGATCAGGCAGGCAGGAACTTTGGGGTGGGGGGTGGGGGGATTCCCCTGACTTCTTCCAGCCCACTCCAGTGAGCCACCAGTGACCTCTAACCCAGTGTTTTTCAACCTTTTTTGGGCAAAGGCACACTTGTTTCATGAAAAAAAATCACGAGGCACACCACCATTAGAAAATGTTAAAAAATTTAACTCTGTGACTATATTGACTATATATAAAGTAATTCTCTTGAATAGGAATCAAATAAACACAAAGAAAGTATTTTATAATTACTTTATTATGAAATATTAAGTAAACAAAATAGTGAAAAATTATAAAATTCTTGTCTTGTCTGCACCTACGGCACAACCAGGCAACATCTGTGCCGCGGAACAGCGGTTGAAAAACGCTGCTCTAACCAACCACCCGGGACAGTGCCTCCAGCCTCCGGGGGCAACTCCGCCTCCGGGCTCTGTTGCCTGCCCTGCCTGTCACCCTGTGTCTGCCTCTTCTCATCACTGTCCTCTGCTTTGCCGCCTGAAGCTCTGAGTGACCTCATCTATTCGCCCATCTCTCCATCTCAGGAGAGGATTTCTCTCCCATGTCCCTAACTCCATTTCCAAGCCCCCCTGGCCCCTCCAACTCAATGTTTTACATCCAACTTAACTTTATCACAAAATGTGCTTCCCTTTCCTGTGTTTGCCTCTTTTGCTCCTGGTGCCACTTCCCCCAAGTCTCCCAGGCTGAACAGCGGAGGGGGGTTTTCAATGTCCTCCCTCCTAAATCCTCCTAAGAATCCTATGGCCCTAGAATGGAGGCACTGTCTTTCTCCCATCACACAGCTGAGGACACAGAGGCACGGAGCAGCTCAGAGACCTGCCTGAGGACACAACACACAGTGGCGCAGCAGGGATTGAAAACAAAGCCTTCCCTCCTCTCCGTCATAATCTCCGCTCCCCTCTGTAGGGCTGGGCCTCTTACAACCACGCCCTCCCATATCCATCCCCTCCTCAAACAGGTCTGCATGTGTCACCTCCCCATCAGCCCCACTGCTGGGGGCCAGGGCCCCTCCTGACTTGAGTCTCCCTGCCATGACTCCCTTCCTCCCCACCGAGCCCCAGGACATCCCTCTCCCTCTAGCCCAGCAGCCCCCCTGCACCTCCCTTCTGCCTTTGCCCTCCTCTCCATGTCCTGGGAAACTTCGACTTCCCCCTCCCAGGCAGGTTTCTAGCCATACACACTTCTATTCCCAAGTACCTCCCAGCACCCCACCCACCTCCACCCTTTCTCTTCCTTTCTTTGTAATGACTATATTTATATACTTATAAGTAATTTGAAAAAATAAATGCTATATGCCCAGCCGGCATGCCTCAGTGGTTGAGCATTGACCTATGAACCAGAAGGTGATGGTTCGATTCCTGGTCAGGACACATGACCAGGTTGCGGGCTTGATTCCCCGTGTAAGGGAGCATAGGAGGCAGCCAATCGATGATTCTCTCTCTCCCTCTTCCTACCTCTCCGAGATCAATAAAAATATTTTTTAAGAGCTATATCAAAACGATTTAAGGAAAAAATGTTGTTTCCTAACCTCCCCTTTGCCCTCTGGGGGAAATAAGCACGTGTCCCACACAGTCCTCCATCGCAGTCACAGACTGGCCCCTCTGCTGCCTGATCCACTCTTCCTTCCCTCACTCTGGCATCTGGGGTGCTACCCATGGTGTGGGGTGCCCACAGAAGCCCAGGCTTTGGTGTCAGAGGCTCACTCCATTTAGGCATGAGAGCCAAGAAAGGGCCAGACTCCTCACATAGACAGCCAGGACACTACCACCAGCTCTGCAGAGCCCTCATGAGAACTGAGTAAAATCTGACAGGGCTTTACAGCTCAGAATGCCCCAATGCTGATTTTATCATGCCTGGCAAATGTCTGCTGGGGACCCTGTGCCACTGACATCCACCCAGGAGCACCTGCACTGAAGGTCAGGTCCACCCGGGGTTCAGGCGGGGAGCTGCAGGCTGCCGCTCAAGGCTAATCCCTCAGTCCCTGAGCAGCCTGAAGGCTCCCCAGGCAGAAGGTGCTGGGGCTGTGGGGACATGGACACTTTCAAAACCTCCCAAAGATGGGTCGGCACTCCTCTTAAAGAACCACAGACCCACCCACCTCAAAGGCCTCGGTTCACCCAACAGAAAAACGAAGGCCGGGAAAGGAATTTGCAGAACAGGGAAGAGAGCCTGTCCTCTCCCCCTTCCACCGAGGCAGGCAGGGTTGGTCAGGGTTCCCAAGCAAGGCCATTGAGCCCATGCCAGAATCCGTCTGTTTTAAAGACTTTTAACGAGGAAAACTATCCTATTTTCCTTTACCCTATACATCAGCTAAAGGTGAATTCTCCTCTCTTCCACTTAAAGTCATGACCAGTTTTTTAAAAAGGAAGAGCCTCTCTTTTACATTGATATGGAAAGGTTACCAAGACATAGTAAGTAAAAAGCAAGAGGGGAAACTCTGGTAAAAATTATTTTTTGACAAAGCAAGGAACAGGCAATTGTGGGGATCCTTTTCTAATGTATACCAGTATCAAATCATCACAGTGTACACTTTAAATGCATTAAAATCTATCTGTCAATTATACCTCAATAAAGATAAAAAAAAAAAATAACAAGTAGAATTATGGGGAGTAGGCTCCCACCACACATTTTTATTTTTTTATTTTTTTTAATAAATCTTTATTGTTCAGATTATTACAAATGTGATCCTCTTCACCCCCTCAATTGCTCCCCTTCACCAGGTTCCCACCCCACCCTCTGTCCTTTCCCCATCCCCCATTGTCCTCATCCATAGGTGCACAGTTTTTGTTCAGTCTCTTCCCGCACCCCCACTCCCCTTTTCCCTGAGAATCGTCAGTCCACTCCCCTTTCATACCTCTGATTCTATTATATTCACCAGTTAATATTGTTCATCAGATTTTTAAATTCCTTGGTTTTTAGATTCACTTGTTGATAGCTGCGTATTTGTTGATCATAATTTTTATCTTTATCTTCTTCCTCTTCCTAAATAACCTCCTTCAGCAATTCATATAATTCTGATTTGGTGGTGATGAACTCTTTTAGCTTTTTTTTATTTGTGAAGCTCTTTATCTGTCCTTTGATTCTGAGTGATAGCTTTGCTGGGTAGATTATTTTTGGCTGTAGGTTCTTGTTATTCATCACCTTGAATATTTCTTGCCATTCCCGTCTGGCCTGCATGGTTTCTGTTGAGAAATCAGCTGACAATCTTATG